CAGTTATCGCCGGGCCAGTAAGAGAAGCTCTAGCTCCCCCCTTCTCTCTCTCTCTCTATTCATATATACGTACAATTCTCTCTGTATCTATAACCTAATTAATTAACCCCCTTTCTTTCTTCATTTTATTTGGTGGTTTCAGTTTTTTTTTTCAATTCTGTATACACACATATATATACATATACTGTAATCCCAGGTCTCTCTCTCTCTCTCTCTCTAGCTTTCTCTCTCTACAGTCTTCACCGGCCACGTTATTTGTGGTTTTTCTCTGTCATGAGAAAAATATTTGCAACTAATTACTAGCTACAGTTATATACGTATATATATCTTATATATATACATACAGAGGTGCAGTTACATATACACATAGAGACACACACTGGAGAGTGAAAAATGTTGGATCTGAATGTTGACGCCGTTCTCTCAGTCGATTCCACTTCCTGCGGCGGCGGTGCCGGCCGCGGCAACACGGCAGCCACCGCCGATTCCGTGGCTTCCACCACCACATCCACCACCAATAATGCCGCCTTCCCCTCCTCCGCCGGCGCCGACGAGGTCGACTGCAACAGCTCGACGCGCGTCAGGCACTCCGTTTCCACCCTCAATTTCTCGATCCTCGACAAGAGCGTGATCGAGATTGAAGACGAAGTGGATAATGACGTCATTAATTGCAGAAGCGAGCTGCAGCTTTTCCCGATGGGTGTGTCGTCGTCTCCGCCGCAGTCCCTGTCCATGTCCCCCTCTCTGGTCAGGGCTAAGTATTGGTTGAATCTATCGGTGCCGGAGGTCCCCGGCGGCGGCGGCGGGGGTTTAGAATTGGGAATTTACAAGGCGGCGCAGTTACCGGCGGCGACTAATCAAGCTCCGCAGCCTCAGGTGAAGAAGAGCCGCCGTGGGCCCCGCTCTCGAAGCTCTCAATACCGAGGGGTTACCTTCTACCGCAGAACTGGAAGATGGGAATCTCATATCTGGTTCGTCTATACATATATACACATACTGATACACACTCACACACACACTCAAACACACATATGCTGCATGCATGTGTGTGTTGTGTGTTAATGGTGCTTGATACGGCTAGACTAAATGTTGATGTGCATTATGACAATTCATAAATTATTCGGAACATACGAGATTAAAACCCGTAGATGAGAGCTAATTTATTCACGGAAGATCGGTTTGATTAGATTTGTGTATGTTTTGAATTCTCGATTAGTGGCCGTTTTTTGTGTTACGAATTCTAACTGAACATTGGCTTTTGCTTGCAGGGATTGTGGTAAACAAGTCTATTTGGGTAAGTTGACCGAGTAATTTGCCGTTTTTCTACATTTATCGGTTATATATATTCGTCATCTGCTTCAATAATTCAATTTCGATTTCCGTTTTTTCAGGAGGATTCGACACAGCCCATGCCGCAGCTAGGTAAGAAATCTCGACTTTTAATGAAAAATTTCCGGCCATTTTGCAATGAAATCTTATTGATGTTGACCCCATTCGTTTTGATTGTTCAGAGCATACGATCGTGCTGCAATAAAATTTCGTGGAGTCGAAGCCGACATAAATTTCACTATTGCTGATTACGATGAGGACATGAGCCAGGTTTCGAAGCTATAGAATATAAATATATATATATTGTACCTCGAATATTTTCTTTATTAGTTAGTGAATCTAATTAATGCCATTGACGAAATTTGCAGATGAAGAATTTGACAAAAGAAGAGTTTGTTCATATTCTACGTCGCCAAAGCACTGGTTTCTCTCGAGGAAGCTCAAAGTACAGAGGCGTAACCCTTCACAAATGCGGTCGATGGGAAGCGAGAATGGGTCAATTCCTCGGAAAGAAGTAAGAATATACTTTTGTACGAACAGTAATTAATTTTTTTATTTTATTTTTTATTGTGAAGTGTACGTTTGATCAAGATTGACCTATCTATAAAGATCGTATAAGTTTAGGGTAGTCATTAAATGGACAGAGAAAACCCCGTTTTATCGATAAGATCATAATGGTTTATTGCAGGTATATGTATCTTGGGTTATTCGACAACGAAGTAGAAGCTGCAAGGTCCTTGTTAACTGTGATCGATCATGAAAATTCATACTTTGCTTAATTAGAGTTGGTGATGATGTAATTTAATAAGGTCAATTTTTCGTTTCTTTTATTAGTTCTCATCGAATTTTCTTTTTCAGGGCTTATGACAAAGCAGCCATCAAATGTAACGGGAGTGAAGCTGTCACAAACTTCGAGCCTAGTAACTATGACAGAGAAATGAATATGAGTTCTGGTACATGATTACAGATCCCGTTTTTGCGTCTTTCGTTTCTTCGTATTCTCTTCAATTAACTGACCCGGTTCGTTTTTTTTATGCAGGTATTGGCAGCAATCTTGATCTCAATCTCGGAATTTCTTTATCTACGGATGGTCAACAAGGATACGAGACTACCAGAAATTTGCATTTTCCTCATGTATCTAATGAACTGCCAGACGGGAAGAGAATAAAGGTGCTCATATTTCTTCGTAAAATGCTTTTGCTTGCTCCAATTCTTCAATACGTTGCCTTTTACTATTCTTTCTTAACTTTCATGCAAATAAACTTGAGATCTTCCCTTTATCGACGGGTTCATTTCTGTCCGTTTGATCATATCGATACTATGTTTGTTCGTTTTTTTCTTTTCCGAGGGTACTGATCGATGTTGTAGATTGAAATACCATGATTAGCTGATATATTTCTGGAATTTTGATAGATTGAAACCGCTTCTGCTTCGCCCCACGAACTATTAATGTCGACCAAGGGTGCCCCTCCAATGTGGCCTATCGTATATTCTGGTTTTGCCCCAAACAGTAAGGTGATTATTCTTGTCACGTGTATTATTTTCTCGATACATTCATCGAAAGAGGAATATAGTTAGATATCGACACGAGAGAATATATATATGTCATAGTTTTGCAGTTGGATTAATTTTTTTTAATTCTTTTTTTGGTTATGATCGATAGGAAAGAGCAACAGTAATGAGCGGTGAAGCTGTTCCTTTGCCTGGATACGCAAACTGGCCATGGAAAATGCCGAGCCATGGAGTGGGGGTCGTGACCCCCATGCCGTTTATATCCGCTTCTGCAGCATCATCAGGATTCTCTTCGAACAATGCGTCTCCGTACTTGAATTCCCTCGTGTCTCGAACACCGCAATTTCCTGCATCTGCTTTCAACACCCTTCACTGATTTTTGCTCCAGGATTTGTCTCCAATCACAGATATATTTCTCTTGTCAGTCATACAAATATTATACAAATAATAGATTGACAAAGGTAATATATGATGTGTATACATTTTGGTACAATTAAATCTTGGAATGTAGATTTCTGACTGCTAAAACGAATTCGATTGTTGTTAATATGTCGCCAGCTCTGGTTTTGATCTACCGGGATAAATAGTATGTAAATCTATAGATGTTTTTTTCTTAATGTTCATATTTCTTCAATCGGATATACACGGTGCTCGAAACAAAGATTAGGCCTTGTTCGATGTATACTATACCATCGAATTGACTAAGTAGTATAGATTAGCAAAATGAAGCTCGTTGACGAACAATCTTGCCGGAAAAAAAAGAACAAAAAATCCCATATTTAAATACGAGCAAACCGAACATCTTACTAACTAATCGATCCAATCCGGAAATCAAATTAATCCAACTAATGCAAGTGGACAAGACCTTAATAACATGATTCAACTTTTCAATGATACCAAACGCTTCCTGTAGGTCTCGACGTGCTCCTTTGGGTCTCGTTGAGTTTGTTTATATGCTTCGATCTTATTCATCTCCTACAAAACAAGCACCTAACATTAGCATATAAATGAACAATACTCCTAATATGAAAATGTTTCAATTTTGATATACCATACTAATAAACTACGATAGAAAATCACAAGATTCAATTCGATTAAATACAAATAACGGATCCACTATATAATAGTAATTATAATAATTTCAAATACTGGTTTTTGTTTCTACACATTTTGCACTTCAAGATAATATCAATTTAATCCCACACATAAAACAAATCTCAAGGGATATTTGTGTAATTTCTCAAATTTGAGGGGTTCACTGTAATTACACCTAACCTCGTGGGAACTAGGTGTAATTTATCATTTCTTAACTTGAATGCTCAATTTCCCTTTGTTCTCTTTTATCTAATCCCCATTAAAAAACCAAATCAAGAAAGAAGTAATTTCTGTTAATAATAATACCTCAATCCACACAGCAAGTTTCGGCCTGCAGCTTGTGATGTCGTAACTCATCACTTCGAAGAAGAAGGGCTGGTATCTTTCAACGAAAGGAGCGTACGCTATGTCCACCTAAAAATAAAGTGTGACCCTTAAAAAAATATTTAATAGTAAAAGAAAATAGAAAAAAAATCATAGTCAACTGGTTTGAGATCAAGAACACAAATCAAAACACTACAAAAACTGAATTGCTCGTTTTCCATTAGTAGCATGTACGATGTTTTAACTTACTAAGCTGAACTGACCAAGAAAAAAGGGTCCGTCGTCGAATTTGGAGAGAAAAATCTCAATTTCGTCAAAAGCAGCACCTACAGAAAATCGTAACAACCCTTAATTTAACATACTTCTATCACTTAGAGAGTAAATATCCAATACAAGAGTCAAATTTTTTTACCAGCTTCGTTAGTGCTGTTCTCCTTCAAAGAATTAGTTACGGCTTTAGAGAAGGAACTCGTAAACGACAGCAACTCCTCAGCAAACTCTATCTTGGTGGGATCCTACAATCATTTAGCACTTCAGCCACACGCGCACACACCAACATGGATGTGTGTGTTTTCGATGAATGAAGCGATGTTGTTATTATCAGAGATATCTTACATCGGGAAAAAGCGAAGGCCCTTCAAAGTTAGCGTCGATGTATCGAATCAAATCGAGACTCTCCCCTTTAACTTCATTGTTATGCTCTAGCGACGGAACCTAAATTATAAAGAAAGAAAAACGGACAAAGAAACCTAAATTAAAAATTCAAGAAACGATTAGGTGCGTTCGCAATTTCATTACACGTAATGGTTTATACCTTGTTTGGAGGGTACACTTTTTCCTTGTACCAAGACGGTCTGTTCTTAAGATTGATAGGTACCAATTTTATAGTGTCTTGAAGTCCCTGTTAAGAAGAAGATATAATCCGCTCGTAAACCTTTAAATGCTACACACAATCACACACACATACATGTGGATGTGTGCTAAGTGGGTAGTTATTGAACACAAGCATCAAACAAACCTAAGCAACACACATAATTAAATATTACAAAGCAACTGTAAATTATTTTATGTTTAATCACACACCTTACAGTTTCTGGTAATCCACGCACGTTGAGCAAACGGGCAAGAGTAAGATATATACAGCCTAAAATCAAGAAACTGAATCAGGACAGAATTTTCTTGAAAAAAGAAAAAAATAGAATTACAACACCATGCACTCAAATTGCACTCAAAAGCGACGGAAAGTGAGCTTAACGACTGATTTTTGCTTCGAGCGTGGGGTCCCAATCGGGCCATGCCCAATTGACGAGGTCGAAGGCGCCGGTCGATGACTATTGACTCGGGAGGAGTTACGAGGCAATCGGCTATATGCACACGAAGCTCGTTCAGGCGCGGTTCGACCTCGTCAATCGGGCAAAAAGCCCGATTGACACCACGCCCGAAGCAAAAATCAGTTGTTAAGCCCACTTTCCGTCGCTTTTAGGCGCAACGGACACATTTATCGGGGCAATCCACGCGTTTAATCGATCTGACCGACCCCACATTGCCCCAAAACTCGGGTCCCACAGGATTCTTACGTGTGCTCGATGTTGAGAAATACATAATCACATAGGAACTTCCCAAAAAAATAAAATTAATAATAATATTCATTTTACAATCAAGGAAAAAATGGCTTACTTGGGGGTTCCATCGAAGATTGGCGGTGGGTCTGAAGAGGAATCAAGAGCAGGTGGAAGGGCTTCTTCTCTCACACTTTGACACCAAAAATTAGGGCACTTTTTAATTTTGAATAGCAACAGAAGAAAAAAAACCCCACTAATTCAAATATCCAAATTCAGTTGAAGGAAAAGAAAAAGCAAGAGAGAAGAGAAATGAAATACCCAGATGAAATTGCTGATACAGTTCGACTGATTCCAGAATAGTTGAGAAGATTTTTCCTGGGGAATAAAATCAGTGGTTTCTTGAAGGGAGGGGATCCTAAATTAGGGCAAAGATTGATGCGATTAGTGTTGTTGTTATTACAAGCGCAATGGATAATGCTGTGATGATAGCTTATGTTGTTGAAGATGGTCGCCATTTTCTCTTGCTCTCAGCTGCTGATTTGGACAATTGGGATTGTTGATTTGTAACCAGCCAAATCTATAATTTTCCAATTTCGATTTTGTTTCTTATTTCAATTTCTGGACTTTTGGTTTCTAAGTTTTTTTTTTTTTTATAAATATTTTTAGATTAAAATTGAAAATATATTATTATTTTTTTATTTATGATCCAATATTAGTGTAAGAATTTTATTTTATTTTAACCCCAACTTACATTTATAATTAATATAGTGCAAGTTATAACATATGTTGTGTATTTCATGTATTCCTCAATGGTGGTAATGTTTTGGAAACATTGCATCCGATTACAAATTTGGTCTAAATGTTTACAAAAAATAAATTTAGTCCCTTATATTACAGTAATTTAACATTGTTTGTCATTTCCGTCAATTTACCGTTAAGGCATTTATATAATTCATAAATCTAAAAACTCGTCACAATAACTCCTCTTATTTAATTATGCATATTAGATCTTAAATAGTAAGATTTGCTCGATTAAGCTCATGCCCTTTAAAATAACAAGATTAACACTCCAATTTTTTTTATCCAATTTGACAATTAAAATAACAAAAATTAAAAAAGTAAGGAATGAGAAAATGCAATGGCAAATTATGATAGTTAATGTGCAAGCAGAAAGAGAGTATTAAGAAGATCAAAATTGTACGCAATAACGAACCAAAGCCCTGCTCCATGCCTATATAAAAGCATTGATTTTGATCAACAATAAAACTTCATCTTCTAACTCAAACTTACACATACCATGAGTTTGGTAGGAGGGGTAGAGAGGAGTTTGTTTTCATTCGAAACGAGTACAGTACAGTACAACTACAACCCGAATACTCTATTGTAATCGCCTGAGCTAAACATTACATCACCACCATACCCAGGGAAGTAATTGACTCCTAATATCTCGTTTCTCTGAAGTTCTGAAATTCCCACTTCCCCCTTATGTTGTTGGACCTCGTCCAAGCCAAGACGGTACCCGTTGCTATTGGAAATGTGGCCGTTTGTGTACTTCTGCTGCGACATTTGTGTGAAGAAAGATGGATCTCGATTTTGGTGTTCGTCTGTTATTCTTGAAGATAAGCCGTAGTAGTTATCTAGCCCAGAGAAGACGTTTGCCGTTTGGCCCATATAGCTCAGTTCTTGCTGTGTGGATGGAGTTTGGGTTGCAAACATTTGAGGAAAATTGGAGCTTTGATGTGTGGATGGTGATTGTTGCATCAGAAGCCAGAGCTTTGATTCGTCCTCGAACGCAGTGCTCAGTCTTGGAGTACTACTACCGTTTGGCCTCATTTCGAAGTTTGGGTTGATGAACCCGTTTGTTCGTTTGCCTTTATCAGAAGTTAATATTGCAGGGTCGAAGAAATCAACATTAGCCAAACGGTTACCTGCAAAACAAGAGTGTTAAAAAATGTGTCAAACAAATGAATAGGTTAGGAAAAGAAAGTAGCAGTGTTTCGAGGCACAAACCTGATGAGGGACGGGGTAAAAAGCCTGTTCTCTCTGAAGCAGAAAATCCAGGAGGTGGATCTCTAGAGGGCACCGAGAATCCAGGAGGAGCCAGAGTTTGAGCCCTATTCACTGTGAGAAGAGAGAAACAAAAACGATACGATTACACAAAATCGGGCGAAATTAAAAGGCTGATGAAAATGAGGTTAAGAATATAATACAAAAGGAAACAGACTAAAGATTAAGTGATATGAAATATAGAGCAAGTTCTAATCATAAATTACAACAAGATTTCACGGTGTATTGTACGCGCGAGCTCTTATCAACATCACATTAGGCATGCATCCGGCTTTTTAGGGTGTATGAATGCTACAGGAACACGTAAAGAACAGTTTGTGTTTAAGATGAAAACATTGATACAGACAGCCATAACAAACGAAGCAGAATGAAATTGAAGGTCTTTTCCCAGTCAAACTAATTATAAGTTGAGAGAAATAAACGAAATACTATTGGGCATATACTCTCAAAGTTTCAAGTCCAGGCCATTGAGTTGCCACTAACTATCATCAAGTTTGACAAACAATGCCTGTGGAAGCATGCATGTACACATACACACATGTATATATACATACACACAAACACACACACACACACATACACACACATGCATAGAAGAGAATAGTGAAGGGTCACAATGAGGACGATTAAAGATAGATAACTGCATTTGAAAACTAAACAAAAGGAATATGGCATACTGTCAAGAGTTGGAAGTGGACCTTTTCTAATTGGTCATATACCTATATCCTTTCAGTGCAAACAATTGAAGTTCTAACCATGGTGGTTGTCTTATAGATGATGCAGGTAGGAAAGAATACACACAGACACAAGCAGAAAAGATAAATCGTTAAAAAGAAAAGGATTTAAAAATGAAAAATATATTTCAGTTACCTGTATACTGAGGCTGAGATAAGTAACGCTCCTTGTTATCACCATAACCTGGAAGGACAGACCCAGCCACTTGACTTGCTAAGCCATCTTGTTTAACGAACGAATGTCCAGATTGGTCGCTATTTAAGGAACTCCAGGAAGAACCGCCCAACCCATCAGTTTCATCAAGTAATTCAGATAGACCATTATGCGTTGTCAAAGAATCTTCACATGAATCAAAATCTATTGACATAATATTCGAAATTATACTGCTCTCTACAGCATCTAAAACAGAACTGTCCTCTTCATTCGTCAAGTTACCATCATCTATTCTCCGTAAGTGCTCTACTATTTCTTCGTTGGAAAATGACCTCGAACTTCTATAAATTCTATCAGATTTAGCAGCATTCTGAAACTTCATCTCTTGTTGGCATGAATCATTTAATATGGAATTCCCATATCTGATAGGTAAAGAACCTTTGTCCTCATAATTATGTAAAAGGCTGTGATCAAGAGTAAAACCATTCAAACTGTGGGGATTTTTGTGTAATAATGTCGGACCATTAGACTCGTCTGAAATATTTGTAGGATAGGATGGATTGGAAAAAAACCTATGACTTGAGCCACATGTCTCTTTAGATCCTTGGTCATTGGATAACAATGAATCTTCTCTGAATGGTACATCTGACATGTTTCTAGATAACCCATTCCCGATGTGATTAGAACTGGAGACTTTAAACAGGGTAGGAAAAGAATATGGCTCGCCTGAATGTATATCTCCATTAACTGATACAGAAGATAATTCAGAACATAAGTTCAGAATCCTCCCATCTTCTGGAATATCTTCATCTTTTTCAGGAGCATCACAATTAGACCGTCCAACAATATCTACAAAAGTTGTCGGTTTGCGAGGTACTGCAATAGCTTCTTCCCTCTCTTTAGAGGGAAGTTGGTAAGCTATATCAGCACTGGTACTTGCGTAGCCATGAGCTGGATCCTGTACAATAGTACCAGAGACAATGATGGTTTTTCAGGATAAAAAAGCATAAAAATATAACACATAAAAATTATGTTGTTCTAACCATGTTCTAATCAAACTTAAAATCAAGTGACAGTTTGCAAATAAGTCACTTACAGAGCTAGTTCCGTTGGATTTGTCAGCAAAAGAACTGGTACTACTGCAGAAATCATCATCCGGAGGAGGCAGTACATTGCCAGCGTGTTTTGCCACATTGTTTGTAGCACCAACTATTTGTTGAACTCTACTCCTTTAAAACCACAAGAAAGAAAAGTTTAAACCAGCAAAAAGTAGATACATCTTAATCTTTCTAGATGTACCTTCATAGGATTCAATGTCCAAATACTCACTCATATATACTCAGAATATTATATTAACAACATTAAATAGTTGATGAAGAATAAAATTGCCACCAATTTCAACCATCGTGAAGCCTGAGAAGATCTAGATCATACATTTTTAACATGCATCCTGGTCTTCTATGAGTTTCTTAAGAAAAGAAAAGGAGCTAAGAAAAGATAAGCACCAATGATCAACTAAAGAGCGTGGTATTCCAGAAAATATTTGGATGTGTTTGTGACATCCATAAAATGCAAGAAAATTGCTGCTTCTCAGAGCTGGCACACAATTTCATTGTCAATTTCTTTAAGAAAGAACAATTAGTATCTAACATCCAGACCAACAGAAGTTCATGAAGGATCAACAATAGTTAATAAGCCTTATTCTGTGTTTCTCAAGGAATTGCCATCTAGATGAGGTATAATCCCTTGCTAAAATACATACTGAAAGTAAATAGAAGAATTGGTAGCATAAATTATTCTAGCTACAAAATGAATCTGGCTAAATATAAATTAATGTGGGTATTCCACAAGTCTAGATAAAGCAATCACTACCATAAGCTTATATCTCTCTTTCTAAAACTAGATATTGGTCACAATATCACAGAGACTGAATTCATCTGGATGTAAAAAATTCAGCATTTTTCCAAAAAGAACAGATCCACCATAGACAAAAAAATTGGAAAAAAAACAGAGGAATAGGAAAAGGTTGAAGCATCATACCTCGTATGTACTGCAGCAACTTCATCTTTTCCAAAACTATCTTCATCGGCCCCAATACTATGCAAATATAAACAAGCAGGATTGTTGCAAGGCTGAAACAAAATAAAAACGTCTGTGAACATCTATTCATGTATAGAGCAAAAGAAGCATTTCTAGCAGGATCCAACGTGAGAAGAAAGCAATCACAAATATCACAAATGATAAATAAATGTATACCATGTTTTTCAGCCAAGCATGGCAATATTTTGCAGTTCCAAATGATGCTCTGCACAGGTCATTTTCAATTGCTAATGTTACAAAAAGCTTCAGATTAATATTGTATGACGATGATAGGGAAAGGAACGAGTGCTTACCTCAAGAATCTACCTTCCAGGACAAAACCATGAACTGACTGAATACATCGTAAGGCCTCCTCCTCTTTTGAATATGTTATGTATCTGGAAGGTGACATGACAAGATCAAGGAAAGTGGAATATGAGGAAGAAAGAACTGCTGAAGGAACTGTTTGTAAAATTGTGTGCCGACATGAAACAATGCCCAGTCGAACAATAAAGGTAATAACAGCACTTGACAACAATAAAGCTAATAACAGCACTAGATTATTGACAACAAGTATGTAAGTTAAGATATTCATCTGTCTATTACCTCTATTATCAGAAATTGTTACAGTTTAGGGCGGTGAAGCTAAAACTAACGCAGAGACAAATATGGATTATTCATTTATTCTTGCACATTTTCATGTGATTATAGATGAACAATCTTGAGCTCTTTAAGAAAGGGAGAGTTAGTGGGTGTAAAAAATGAGATAAGAAAATTGGTGTATGATAGTGAACCTCCATATTTACTCAAAAAAAAAAAGTGAACCTCCATATCTTAATTATGTATTCTGGTCGAGGAAAACCACATGTCAGATACCTCCTCCATTAAAACATGTCATCCTAAACTCAAAACAAAATTCCCAAATCAAACTGAACCAGGCAGAGATGTTTAGAAAGTATAGTAGTCGATCACAAGCAGCTTTAAATGTCATATATCTTTTTTTCTTATAAGAAATTCCAAGCATAAATTAACAGATTTAAACTCACACGCTGCATGTGTCATTGATAAACTGTTGGATGGCCCCACCAGCTGTCCGAGAGAGAGAGACCTTCGTCACTTTCCCGTACTGACCAAAATACTCCTTCCGCAGCAATACCTGTTCAAAACAATGTATCTCTTTAGAACTGAAGAAAATAAAGCAAGAAAATAAGTAACTTATGAAGGAGGGAAAAAAATTCTGACAATATCCCAAAGGAAAAGAAGTAAAAACTACTCCATACCTCTTCATCAGCTAGAGTGAGAGGTAATCCAATAACATATGCCATTTTACGCTGAATCACTCTAATATTTGTCAAATCCTTCTTTACTTCAGTAGCCTTTGGCTTGGCGGCTTTCGGTGGTTTGCTTTTCCTATTAGAAATCTTCGTCATTGTCCTATGTCATAAAAGAATATTCAACAAACTGTTAAATCAAAGCTCTATTTCAGAAAATAGAGAAGGATAATGATTAGCACAAAATCATAACGAACTTTTCATTATTTGCTTGCATTGCCACAATTTTCTCCTTTTCATAGATTGTACGACATGCAGGACATCGTCCCTCAGTGTCATCTTTCTCAGCCATGTCTATTATATGATGCCAACACCAAACACAGACCTGCAACATAAACAAAAGCAATCTCAGGTAGAGGCTTAGTAACGACCAAACAGCATTCAAAAGATATTCCCTCTTAATGAAGACATAAGAAAACAGTATGTTATGACATGAATAGAGACAAAACCAGTAATACCATCATAGTTGACAGTTTTCTGAATTCAAAGGGGAATCTTTGAGAAGATGAGTAAAGAAAGCGAAAATTTCTAATCTACATCTCATAAATGCCAAATTGCAAAAACGTCATCAACAAAAAACTCATAAGAGAACATAAATCACAGTCTTACACACCCCCACCCCTCAAATCATGAGAAATTTTGAAAGTGTAAAACATGGATCCTGTGAGCAACTTCAAATTTATCATCTCTAAACCAACTTTTATGACATGCCAGATATGAGAGCACATAGAAAATGAGAACAGGACAAATAGTCAATGTTGCAAAATAAGAGAACATGTATCAGACTTGCCATGGAAATGAAAATGAAAAAAGAACAAACAATCAAAGTTGAAAAATGAAAAAATACATACATACAAGACTTGCCATGGAATGAGTAATGCTTTATTTTCTTCTGAGAATTAACCAATGAAGAAAAATGACTTTCAAAAAATGAATTATCTAGGTTTTAGGCTACATTTCATAGAGCAAAATCAGCAAACATTTCCTCCAGCTCGAAAAAAAGAGAGAAGAAAACAGGCATTGACTATAACTGATTAAACGAGAATACACAAAGAAAAAACACACATTTTTATGTCAAATAATCATCACCTGATAACCGCATTTGCAAGGCATGAACTGCTGGTCTGTCCAATCCATTTCTTCCGCGCATAGAGGACACCTCTTCTCTCCTTCGTTGCTCATAATTAACTCTTAGCCCTAACAAAAAGATCTGCAGCAACAAAAAGACACAGAACCATCCAAATCAATCATTCATCTCAATGAACTAGCTAGAATTAACAAACAGATGGGGAAAATCACCCACATTTAACCCAAGCCCACACTAAACCATGCAAACACATTTCCTCCCCCCTTACACCCCTATTAACATAAAAAATCGAGATAACGAAATGCAAACCCTAATGTGAAACTACAGTGTCATCCAAACCAAAATTGGAGAGGCAATTAACAGTTTTTCAGATCAGAGAAACCAAAAACATCCTCATTCCGCACAAAAACCAAACAATGCGCGCACAAAATATCCACATTGAAATGCAGAAACACATGCGCACCACAAAACATAAACAAGCACAGCGGCAGACGCGCAAACGTTCCACAAAACCGACGTACAACGGCCGAATTGAACGAACGGACCGAATGTAGGGTTTTGAGATTACATTTCGAAGAAACAGAAGATTCAAATTAAACCAAAAAAAAAACGCACAAAAAACTTACAGAGATTTTATCGAGGAAAAATGGCAGCGATGTAGAGAGAGAAAGAGAAAAGGAAAAAAAAAAAAAACCAACTCGGGGGAGGGGTCTGTACGGCACGAAGTGATGATTGAAAATGAAAACCACAGGATTAAGACACCTTTAATGGATGGCCTTCTTTAACACTAGGGAATTTTCTTCTCTCTCTACACGTATGTATCTATATATATATATATATGTAATGTATGTATATATGTATGTATATCTATCTATATGTATATTATGTAGGTATGTATGTATATATCTCTCTCTCACACGCACACACACACATGTGTGTGTGCGTGCGTGCGTGCGTGTGTGGCAAAATAAAAGGATGTGGTTGAGGTTTTCAATTAAATTATTTTCATAAAACTATTATTATTATTATTTTTTATTTATTAATAAATAAATAATAAAAATAATAAGTCAATGTTGCAAATTTTTAATGGTGTGGAATTGGAGATTGGTCTTCTCTAATCTCTATCATGGATTTGTGGTTTAGAGGTTTAGGGTTACTTTGGGTGGTTAAAACATAAGGAGTGACATTGAATTTTTATTTTTTTGCAATAATTAATTTAAATTATTTTATACATTTATATGTATTCGTTTTTTTAAATGTTCGTCTCGTCGTGTTTTTTTAGAGGTTATTTACGATAGATACATTTACAGATACACGAAATTTTGATTTTAAGGGAATCGTTCTTATTTGACAGAATTACCTATTTATGATTTTCCATCTTTAGTTTATTACCAAAAAAATCTAAATTACCTATTTATGATTTTCCAAAAAAGGTGAGCTAGAATTGAGATTTTTATTAGCTATATTAATTGAAAAATCTTATTAATTTTATTTGCCATGGTATTGTTTTGTATGACAATATCATTTAACTAATTAAGTGTATTGTCAATTATCAATGTTTACCCTTGTTTGGTTGAGAATATAATTTATGACTAATTAAATAAATAAGATTTTAATGTTTGGTTAGTAGAAAAGTTCTTTAAATTTTATTCGTTCGTTTCAACGATACTGAAAAATATGGATCTCTTAGTTTACTAGTTGATATATCGATTATTAGCAAAATAAGTCGTGATTGACTATAAATAATAGAATCATATATATGGTTAGTCGTCTAATAAAACTTGTACTAACCACACATTGCATGAAAATTTTCAATAAATACTTATGTCTAGTAACATAAATAAGACATCTTTATTAGGTGTATTTTGCCTTTTGGTGAATCTCTTAAAAGATACAAATTTCAAGTAAGAGAATGCATTACTCCCTTGTTGGGCACATTAAAAAAAAAAGATTATTGAAGAATGATGTAGATTACATGTTTTAATTTGAGTTATCTCACGTTGGAAATGATACTACATACGCGTAGAGAGATATTAATTGTTAAATTATGGTCGAACAAATATACTTATATCACATAAGTGTATAGATACAGAGATGTTAAGTCATGGTCGATCAAACATAAACTAAAAGATTTTATACATAATACGATAATATTATGAGGTTAGATTTTAAAATTGGGTTATAATATGTACTATTGGTATTTAAACTAAAATCAATTAATAAAAATAATTTTTTTTTTTTTGGTAATTCAGTTATTAATCGAACCAAACGATAAACGATATGAAATCTTGGCTCACCGCAATTTATGTACAAATTTTCCGAATGAATACTCATAAATTTATCAACCGAAGGGATTTTTTTCGTAAGATCAGACATAGTTGAGTTGAGGGCTGCTTGTAACAATGCAAACATAAGGGGGGTTTCGTGATTTGACTTTACCTCAGGGGTGGTCGCAATTTGCCAACTGATAAGGGTTTTTTCGTAAGACAATACATAGTTGAGGGGGTGACTGTAATTATGCAAACAATCGGGATTTTTTCGTAATTTGATATTACCTCAGGGATGTCTGTAATTTGCCCTATTTTGTTCTTGGCCTAAACAATAATATGTAGGGTAAATTCCACTTTTCCCCTTGTACTTTAGATCGTATCATTTTATCTCCTTCCACTCTCAATTGCATCGACTTGCCTCCTTGTACTTTGGTTCAATATCACTTTACCCCATTCTACTCTCAATTGCATCGAGTTACCCCCTTGTACTTTGGGTCGACATCACTTTACTCCCTTCTACTCTCAACTGCATCGATTTGCCCCTGTACTTGAAAAATTGTCTCAATATGATACTCGCCGTTAGTTTTCACACATTTGACATTTACACCGTTTGATCTAAATTTGAAAATGATAAAAAAAAAAAACCACCACTCCAGTTCAAATAATTATTAAAAAAAAATAAATAAATAAAAAATAAATTGTGGCTGGCGTCGATGTGGACTATGTTTTCTCGTTGTCTTTAAATTTTTTTTTTATTATTATTATTATTTATTTTTTTATTGTTTTTTTAATTTTTTTTTAATAATTATTTAAACTAGGAGGGGTGACTTTTTAGCAATTTTCAAACTTAGATCAAACTTTGTTGCAATTGAGAGTAGTAGGGGGTAAAGTGATATCGACTCAAAGTACTAGGGGACAAATCGATGCAATTGAGAGTAGTAGGGTGTAAAGTGATATCGAACCAAAGTAAAAGGGGAAAGTGGAATTTACCCTAATATGTAATAAGAACTTTTCCTACGAAGCGTTTTCAGAAGAAATTGTAAGCTACCGGAGAGAAAAGCACAAAAGAGAGGAGCAAAACCCCAGCGGCTCTCCTACTCCATTGGAGGAAGCAAAGGAATGTACGCAGAGCAGAAGAAGCTCAACTATCGAGAGAAATGAGGCTGATAGTGCTCACTTCCCGCAGCAAAGCAATTTTCACTTTCCCCGTTCGCATCTCCCCGGCGCCGCCGCTGCCTCCGCCGCCGCGAAGCTTCACCACTCTCTGTTGGAGACCTAATCGCAATCCCCAATTTTCCTCCTACACAGGATTCAGAGCTTCGTCGAGCGCCGCGCATACGGCGTCGTTTCTTCAGCGGAACCCCGTGTTCTCCGCGTCGAAATGCATATCCTCAATTTCGTCTTCTGCTGCCAGTACTGTGGACTGGAACGAAGCCGCCTTGGGCTCGGCGGAGGCGGTAGCGTGGGAGGAGGAGGACGATATCAACGAGGCGGCCAAATCTTCCATTTCCGTTAGGGCGTATTTCTTCTCCACTAGGTTTGACTTGTGTTTGTTTTTTAAATTTTTTTTAACGATTAAATTGTTGGCTAAGGCTTTGGTGATTGTGTGGCAGCGTCGATTTGAAGAGCTTGGTGGAGCAGAACAAACAGAATTTTATCCCACCATCGTCGAGGATGACAAACTACGTGGTTCTGCGATTTGGTGATTTGAGACCTGATCCTAATGTATGTTTCTTTCCGTAATTTAGTTCCGTATGCATTACGATTACTCGAAATTTCAATTGTGAATTTTGTTGAATTTATCAAAATTGCATTATGTCTAAACTGCCTTGCTAGTTGCTATATAACTCCCTTCTCATTCTATACAATACTGCCCGCACATAATACGTTGCTGATAAGCTACCTAGCAATTTGTTCACACTTGTCTAATTGTGTTTTTAATTGATATTGTGAGTAGTAAACTATAGTCGGTGTATTTTTGCAGGATTTCAATCTCTTGACGAACTTAGATTAAATGGTTGTCTTGTTATCTTATAGTATATGAGTTTAGGTGAATTCAGTGTGCGTCACGTTTGCAATTAACACTAGCTATATTTTCTTAGAATATCTCATAACTATGATAAACATTCAGAGTTTTCGAGGTCTTACGTACAGGTTTTTTACCTCAGAGAATAATTGTTTATGCTTTAACAGCAAGACCATTCGGAAAGTTATGATCATGCAGGGCTAGATGTCTATCTTTCTGAATTGCAAGAGTACCTTGAGCTTGTTTTATAACTCATCAATATCGTTATGTTTAGGATCCAGTATTGGTTATTTAAAAATTCTGAATCTACGGTGCTGATTATGTATATATATATATTGTTGTTCTCGTCTCTTTCAGAAATTCTGTCATGTATGATGTCTTAACTTAGTTGGATTAATAGAATGAAATGAGATTCAACTTGATTTTCTGTTTATTTTAGATTCTTCAAACTTCAATGTACAGTTTCACACCTAATGAATATGACTAGATGGTTCATGTGGTTTTGACATGAAATCAATGTGATGTATAGACTCACATGATGTCTTTGAAGTTGTTAATCTGCAAGTTATAGTTTTCTGGTTTCTTCGGGTTCCCAGTGTTGTATCTTGTGTTCTTTTTATAGATTTAACTTTATCTCTCTTGAGATGCTAGTAAGGGAACCGGGTGCTATCATTTACTTTGAAGTGGAGTAGACCTTTTATATCAAGCACAGTTTTTTTTATTATGGGCAGATATGTGTACATTGAATGCTTTGCTTCAATTTAATCTTTACATGATTAACAGTGTATTGTTGTTGTTTCAGGGTTTGAGTTCTAGTTTACACGGAAATGATTGTTGTTACATGGTAGTTTTCCAGTACGGCTCCATTGTACTGTTCAATGTCCGTGACCATGAAGTTGATGGATATCTAAAAATTATAGAAAGACATTCTTCGGGATTGCTTCCTGAGATGAGAAAGGATGGTAAGCCCATTTTTAGCATAGACGTAAATTTACTGTATTGAATCCGACAATTATTTTACCAATATACATTCCTTTCTCTTTCTGCGTTAGTACATGGTTACATGAAAATGCATCCTATTCATATGGTCCTTCCTCTCTTTAATGTTTAGCTATCTGCTCCTAAAACAATAGAAGTCATAATAATTAGTTGGTTGATTGAATTGCAGTTGTCCTCTTTCCATGTAATATACTCCACCTAGCCTCCTCCATAAAAACTCAGTTTTTTCCTGCCAAAACAAAAGAATAATAGAAAATTGGGTCTGCTCATTTCTGAAATGTTGGCTTGATGATAATGATTACATGGTGCCAATTTGACCAAGGCTATACCAAGCATTCAATTATGCAGAATAAGGCAAATAGTTAATTAAATCTTTATTTAATTATTAAAGAACACTTGTGCTATAATCATGTACAACAACAAGAGAAAATGGTGGCCCTCAGGCTATGGTAGAGTTAGAAAGGAGCGTTTCGGGACTTATTTTAATTCATCCCTTGAAACCTTTTGTTGGAGAAAAATTAGATTTGATGGGTACTCAGTTTCATGAAATGCATCCTCATTTCATATTTTCATTAATACATCCTTTATAGAATTGAAGTTAACAGATACACAAACGAGGCCCGTTTCTAATCAAACTTAGTAGAGAGTTCATTGTGCTGTCTTTTGTTTCCATTCAATAATATGTTTAGTGTGTCTTCTGTTTGCTAGTTTATTGGTTCATATGTATTACGTGGCGGATGTCATGTATATACAACTTACAAATTTCTGACTTGGGTATGAAAAATTAGAATATGAGGTCCGAGAGAAGCCAAATTTGAACACATGGATGCAAGGTGGGCTTGATTACATAACACTGCAATACCTTAATGTTGACGGCATCCGTACCATTGGTAGTGTTCTTGGTCAAAGTATTGCACTTGACTATTATGTTCGTCAGGTATGTTCCCTATCTACTTCGATAATACAACTTTACAATAATTCCCTTTGTTTTCTATCATATCTTTTTAATATCCTTCTGTTCTCTTTAAGGTCGACGGAATGGTTGCAGAATTTACTGATATCAATCGTGGGATGGAGAAAACTGGAACCTTCACAATGGAACGAAAAAAGCTATTTCAGCTGGTTGGAAAGGCAAATTCAAATCTTGCTGATGTAATTCTTAAGCTTGGACTTTTTGAAAGGTAATAATTGGAGTTATTTACTGCAAGAATTGAATGGATCTCGTTAGAACCATTGTCTGTAGATTGTAGAATCTGGATTTATTAGTTTATTCGTCTCATCTTTTTTAAGGATCACGTCTCGATTTACTTTTCTTTACCCCTTAGTTTCTCACTGTCTAACTAGTTAGAATTATCTTCGAACTGATTGATAATATGCATTTTGGTTCTAGTTACTATTGCAAAATAATTTTTTATCTATTTTAGCTAATAAGACATAAAATTATCCGAAACTCGTCAGCCTTCATCTCGTTCATTTTAACTTTTGGTTGAATTATTTTCTTCTTTTGGTATAGTTTAGAGTTTTACGGTCACTTTTCTTATACGTTACACTTGTTTACTATTATATCTAGCTTTTGAAACTGAGACGAAGTCGTAAATCTAAATTCAGATCAGATATCGCGTGGAAAGATGCTAAATACGCTCAGATTTGGGAGTACCTAAGAGACGAATTCGAATTAACTGCCAGATTTGCAGGCCTTGATTTCAAATTGAAGTTTGTAGAGGTATTGCTTTATTGAATGCCATTTCTTCCGATTTTAGCATTTTCATTACTATAATTTCCAAATTACCATAGCTGATGTCTTTTTTTTTTCCTCGACACCTGCAGCATAATATTCGTTTTCTACAAGAGATTCTACAGAATAGGAAATCGGATTTCCTCGAGTGGCTGATTATCATCCTAATTGCTGCCGAAATTCTCATATCCGTATACGACATCGCTCATAAGTCGTTGTAGAATCTGCCTATTCTCATCGTTCCTACAACACGAATTTGTATATACAATAATGAATTTACTGTGCTTTATCGCAATTGGTCACACTGGTCACAGGAAGTACTTTATGTAGTAAAATTATTTTACCTGTAGGCCCCACCTATTTTTTTTTTTTAACCAGCAGACATTGTATCACAATGTTTTATTAATATTTTTATTCTTTTTTCTCCATACATATATTTTTTAATTAAAACTCGCTCGAACTCGATCTTCACTAGAAATAAATCAATAAATTAAATACGTACGAGTACGAAAAACTCGTTCGATGTAAACTCGATTGCTTATCAAAATTAAGTTTCAATCATAATTTTGAAAATTCGATATAAATTCAAACAAGCTTAAGTAACCGTATAATCGGCTCGATTTGTATACAAACAAACCTTTTGATTAGTTAAACATCTTGTAATGGGCCTTTTTCTACTAAGGATCCAAGCCCATTTATAGAAGAAGTAAAAGCCCAACTTAGAGAAATGCGTCAAAAGACAGAAATAGCCCTTGAGATAGTGGTAATTACGAAAATGAAGTAATCGACCCAATTTTCCCCAATTTCATTTCCTTCTCTCTCAACTCTGACCTCTAAGCAAGCTACTGAGAAAATCTGCAAACAAGAAACAAATAGAAAGGTAAATTTTTTCTTCCCTTTCATTTGAAGAACACGATGGTTATTAATTACGTGATTCGAGATTTGTTTTTACCGTGGCTGAATTTAGATCAATTTATCGACGATTATCATTATATTGTGAATGTACATTTACGGAATGGTGTCCAGGATTCGATTCGATTCTCATATCCGGATATCGTCTTGCGAATTCTTGTTTTTGTAGAAATATTGAGCGAACTGCAGATTTCTTTTCGTATTCCAAATCGGTTTTCTCGAAAAATGTGTAAAAATGTGTTTTTTTTTGGTGTTTTTCAGTGAATATAGCTCGGAAATTGATGCTTCTCAGTGAATGTTGTTAAGTTGGGGTTTGTGCGGGGGGGTGGGTAGGGTAAGGTGGGTGGGGTGGGGTGGGTAATTTAGGTATTGAGGGAAATGATTGTTTTGTGTTGCGGTGATGTATGTATATATAGTACAGAAATTGCATGATTACGGTTTATGGTCTATGGATTGTTAGATCTCCTGATTTTGACGTTCCGTATTTGAGCTGAAATTAATTGTTACGAAATGCGGAACTTTGTTAGTTTGCACTATCTACGTAGGCGTCTGTTTTTTCATTTCACAAACGTTAGGCATTATAAGGTGTGGGAGTGTGTTAATGCGATACGAGCTTCTGATAAACGATGATTTGTTGATTGTTTTGGTTAAGGATGGCAAGCACTACAGATGCTGGAGAACAAGTGCCAACTTCGTCCATGCTGATGGGAGCTGCTAAGCATATAGGGACGAGATGCCGTGGCGAGAATTTGGCATTTTTGAAGTGCAAGAAGGACGACCCGAACCCTGAGAAATGTCTCGATAAAGGACGCCAAGTTACTCAATGCGTGCTTCATCTGTAAGTTATATGAACGTTTGATGCTTGTAGATAGATATATGTGATGCAAGATAGATTTTTTTAAAGATCCCATTTGCTTGAAGATAGGTAGTCTTGTTTGGTTGAGGAAATTAGCCGTGATTAACTAAATAATTGGACTTTGTTTGATGTTTGGTAAACCCAATCATTTTCCGGGTCGACCCAGAAATATTATTTTATCATGGCCTATTTTGCCTTTTAGGCAGATTATTTGAACACTCGGTTTTCATTACGTTATGCTTAACTTATCTTAGGAACCAAACGAGACCTTAGTGCAATGGCTGAGCCCTTTTCATTCTCTCTTTATTATCTTTATCTATCTATAAACTTTTGCTTCTCTAGGAAGAATAGACGAGGGAGCAGGATAAAGATAACAGTATAAGAGAAAATTAATGTAGATTTGCTTCACATCGTGTTACTATTATACTTTCTCGTAGAACATTAAGGTGAAGTTTTTGGGTATTCCAACTCACTCCATTTATATTTTATATTTTGTATTGCATCGATAGATTCGTAATTTTCTAGCCTAAGAAACTTACCACAGTGTAGTCTGTCATCTTCTATTAGCCGACTTTATTATAGTTTTTGTTTATCCACTTCTCCCTTCAAAGATTTATGTGCAGGGCGGAAGTTTCTAAAGAACTATACCTAAATGAAGGAGAAAGCCCCTTCCCTTTATTCTAGCTAATCCTCTGCAATTAGACTCCCTTCGTTTGTAAACATTATTAGTTGCCACTTCGTTTGGTTCATTAGAAGCAAATTTAAGAGAAAAAATAGACGATGATCCTCACACAACATCAAAATTGAACTTAATTCATGTTTTTTCTTGACGTATACGCCGCAAATCAAATTGCATGAGTATTTGTTGATCTCACTATATTAAATGCTATAAAACTCCGGGACTGCATTAGGATGAAAATATAGAACTTAATCAACTATAATATGTAAACATGGAAATGCAGGTCAGGTTTGGGCATGCTAATCAAAACCGGTAACTAAATCAACGTAACTTGCCCATGATTAAGACCCATAGTTTAATCTGTTTATGAACCCGGAAATGTAATATTTCAATGTATGAACCACGCAAGTACGTGTGCATCAAGAAACAATTTTAACAATCTTGGTGTTTTTGCTGTAGGTTGAGAGATCTGCACCAGAACTGTGGAAAAGAAATGGATGCATACGGTGGGTGTATGTATTACCACACTAATGAATTCGAGTTTTGCCGTAAAGAGCAAAAGGACTTTGAGAAAGCGTGCCCACTCTGATCAGTGTATCAACGAAAAAAATGGATGCTTGTGAACATAATAAAATCGCGGATTTCTTCTGTTGAATTCGAATGTACTCTTTTAGATTGATGATTTGTCTTTTCTATTCCTTCCTTTTGTATGGTATCAGAAAACTAATTTCAGTATCGAGAAATGCGATCAGGGAAACCCGTTTAAGTATCACGATTCTTGATTTTTTTTTTACATTTCGAGTTGCTGCTATATAGTCTTGTGTTCGTTTCAAATGTGAAACAGGATGTATGGCTACTTATTTGATATTTCTATCTTGTTTTCATGCCAATTATTCATGGTATTTTTATTTTCTTTTTTGAAAAATAAATTAGCGGAAATATAAATTATTTTTTGAAAAATAAATTATTCATGACATAAATGGTGGTATTTTTTTTTTTTTTTAAATTATTTGTTTATCTTATTAAAGCCCATTAAGTGATGTTGAAGCCCATTAATATTTGGGCCTCTTGTTTTGTTAGAGCCCATTAGGTTTGTAGGCCCTATTCACACATAAGGTAAGGTATATTATATTGGGCCATAAATAACAATTAATTTATCGATGTTCTACTGTATTCTCATCCTTTTTTTTTTTTTTTTTTTTTTTTTGGGAATAAGTATATTTTATTATAAAATCGGATTTTCTTGTAATATATGATTTAACTTCAATATCTTGAAATTGATTTGTAAAACATTTGCTAGAAAAAAAAAAAAGATTTTAGCAAAAAAACCACACACACAAAAAGGAAAAAAAAAAAGAAAAAAGAAAAGAAATGAACGGTGAATTGTTAGAGTCACAGTTCATTCGTAACTATTAAAACGACGGCCGTATTAAAAATAGACACGTAGGTGATTTCACACACACCAAGGTGACAGCCTGTGACGTTAGCACACCACACCAGTAACTAGGAAAGGACAAGGACTCATTTATTTTCTGCTAAAATATTTTTTCTATTTTGCACTCCAAAGGCTGACCTCAACACTGCTTACTTCTACTCTCTCTCTCTCTCTCTACTCACTCTCTCTCTAGAATCCAAGTTTCCGATTTTCCTGAAGAAAAATCCAGTCGAGGTACCATTATTTTTGCTTTTAGAATTCTTCAAATCGAATGTTTTTCCGCTAATTAATTCACGGAAGAAATTACGTTTTTCGCAATTTACTTGAATTTAGTAGATTATTATACATTTTGATATTAGGGTTTATCTTAATTTTCGGAATTTTCGAAATTCTATCGAAGGTGAAGTCTTTCTCTTTACTAAATTCGAGATCTTGATCCAGAGAAATATCAATTATGGAGGAGGAGCAAGTTGATGTGGGTAAAGATAGTAGCGGTGGCGTTTCAGATTCGCCGTTGAGCGGTGATTTACCCTTGCCCAGTGAGACAGCTGTCGAAAGTACGGATATCGACAATCCGGTAGAGGAGTCTTTTGAAGAAGAAGATGAAGGGGAAATAATGGTGGAAATTGTGGGGTCAGATGTGTTTGTTGATGGTGTCAGTGGCCTCAAAGAGGGGGATTTTGTTGTGTCTGAAGAAGTTGGTGGGGTTTGTAAGAATATCGAAGAATCTCGGGTTACGGATGTTTCGGAAGCTATGGATGTTTCCGAAAAAGAATATGCTGTTACGGAAGAAGTAGATATTTCCTTGTCTGAATCTGTTACTGCATTGTCTTCAAAAAGTGTTAATGTTTGGAATCCCGGAAATGAAGAAATGGCCGTTTCTTTATCGGTGGAGACAACATCTGTGGTGATTAGTGAAGAGAGGACGGTTATAAATGAACCTTCGAAAGATTCTGCGGAAGCTCTTGTTGGTGTTTTAGAGAAAGAAGATGAATTACTATTACCCTCGAGTAATTCGCAAGGGGAAAATGAAGAAGCACATGGTGGTGAAACTGCACCGTCTGAGTTGTCTGCAAACCCTAATTGTGACGGTTCCGGAAATGTCAAGGTTGATGGGGGTGATAGTGTTGCTGGAGGAGAGTTTTTGAGTGCTGACATGGCCAAAGATGGTGATTGTCTCGTAGAGGACAAATTTGTTGATGAAAAAGAAGTTGTTGCTGCTGAAAGTCAGGTCTCGGTTCTTGAAATGTCTGAGAATCAAGGTTGCGTAAACGAGTCTCGTGAAATAAAGCCCGATTCAAGTCATGGGAGTGAGGGTGTTTCGCGTGCTAGTACAGAGACCATTCTTGAGGAATCTGTTGCAGGTGCGGAATTTGATGATGTAATGGATTCTGAAGATGGAACATCAAACATTAATCCGGAGATTGATGAAGTCTTATTAGAGACTGATATGGTTGATCAAAGCCACTTTGTCTCAAACGAACCACCTCATCTGGCCGATGAAAGTGATACTGCTGTAGTAAACAAAGACGATGGTCCAAATGATGAAATCGAAGCTGATAAAGAGGAGGAGAATCAGACAAATACGACGAGCCCAATTTTGCCAGAAGATGAGGAAATTGTACAAGCAGATTCGGGTGAAGTAACAGAGCATCAGAAAGTAATGGAAGTTGTGGATGTGGGTGGATTTAGTGAAAAGGGAGGTGTTGAAATTCCGGCACTCGATGCTTCCTCGGAGAGCATGAAGCTTCTAGAAGAAGGCGAGGAGATATTACGAGAAGATTCAGACATGATTGAGGACCAACAACCTGTCGTTGACACAACAGTGGGTGGAGTGACAGATCACCAGAAAGAAATGGAAGTTGTCGATGGAGGTGAAAACATTGAGACGATGGATTTTGAAATCTCGGAGCAGTCTTTAGTGGGCCCGGAAAATGCCGAAATTCCAGCTGATGTCAGCATGACAGAAGATCATGTTGTATTGGACAACGTTATTGAAGAGCGTGGTGATTTACCTCAAGGTAATGAAGAAGAGGTTCCTGCAGAAGGGGTTGAAAATCTCGAGAGTATTGATTTGATCCAGTTTGTGGACGCTGATATTGCACCGATTTCTGATATCACTCAAGTCAACATCTTGCCAGAGTCAACTGAAAAGCCAGAATTGGATAATTTCACGGAAACAAACGGCTTTTACATTGCGGACGATCACACCTCCGATGAAGCAGAACTCATGGATGAAGAATTAGAAACCGAAAATTCAAAATTCTCTAACGAAGAAACCACGAAGTCCGTGAGAATGAACCTATCAAGTTATTTATCACCTCCAGACAGCGAGGGTACTTTCGCCATTTCAGATTTGGTCTGGGGTAAAGTCCGGAGCCATCCATGGTGGCCCGGACAGATATTCGATCCAGAAGATGCTTCAGAAAATGCCGCCAAATATCACAAGAAAGATTCTTACTTGGTAGCGTATTTTGGCGATCGAACATTCGCTTGGAATGATGCGTCTGTGTTGAGGCCGTTCATGTCATTTTTTCCACAAATCGAGAAGCGGAGTAGTTCCGAAACGTTTCAGAATGCGGTGGAATGTGCCTTGGAGGAAGTTTCTAGAAGGGTGGAGCTAGGTTTGGCGTGCTCGTGTGTACCGAAAGATGCGTACCGTAGGATCGAAGCTCAAGTTGTGGAGAACACTGGTATACGCGAGGAGTCACACCGTAGATACGGTGTGGATCATTCTACCGGAGCAGCTTCTTTCGAACCTGATAAACTTCTCGATTACGTTAGAAACTTGGCAGCTCGTTCATCTTGTGGGGCCGATCAATTGGATCTTGTCATCGCTCGAGCACAATTATCTGCATTTTATCTATTTAAAGGGCACCGCCCCATAACTGAGTTTCCACCAACAGGAGAATTGCTCGAAATTGATCAGAAAGAATTAGCGGATGAAATGGAATATTCCCCTGAAGATGCAGAAGATGAGTCAGCTGCCTCGAGAAAACGGATAGCAACAACAGAGCCTCTAACCACAGTACCTATCCCAACAAGTCAAACTCCCAAGCCTTCGTTCAAAATTGGGGAGTGCATTCGTAGAGTCGCCAGCCAATTAACAGCCGCCACGTCATCAGTGGAAAAAACAACAGCTGTTGTTTCTCCGGAAGCTTCTTCAGTCGAAGAGATGCTATCACAGCTCCAGCTGGTGGCGCGGGACCCGAAGAAGCGTCACACCTTTATGAAGACTATCCATAATTTCTTCATGGGGTTCAGAAGTTCGATTGCTCTGAATAAACGTGGCAGGAAGAAGAAATCTGATTCAGCAGTCGGTGGGTCCGGCGAAGAATTCGAATTCGATGATGTGAACGACTCTTATTGGACGGACAGGATCGTCCACAACTACCCGGAGGAGCAGCTGATTACTACTACTAATAATAATCGCGAAAATGGGGCGGGGAGTAATTTTCAACTGGTGACTTTTGATGCTGAAAAATCGGGGAAAGCGATCCGCAAAACGAATTCAAGAAAGAGATATTCGACTGGTATTTACCCAACCGAAGCAACGGAAATAGACGAGGGTGTAAAAAGGAGAAAGCAAGAATCTTCGCCAGCCGAGTTGATCCTGAACTTTGCTGAGAGGAAATGTGTTCCTTCGGAAATTAATCTGAATAAAATGTTCAGAAGATTCGGGCCTTTGATGGAATCTGAAACGGAAGTTGATCATGAAACGGGGTGTGCTAAAGTGATATTCAAACGGGGTTCTGATGCAGAGGTTGCTCGTAATAGTTCGGAAAAATTCGGGATTTTTGGGCCGGTTCTTGTGAACTACCAGATTGGATATTCGCCTTTGATCTCGGTGAAAGTCTTGCCTGTTGAAATTCCTCAGTTCGAAGAAGATATGGAATTGATGATGTAGCTTTTGGAGTAATGGTAAGTATATATTATGACAGAAAATATCACATATAATCATTACGTACCGTTTCAAATTCGCGAATGTTTTCCATTAGTACTAAGAACATTTTTTAGGTTTGATTAATTCTTGAGGTAAAATTTTCTGCATTTCAAATTCGTGGTCTTGAAACGCTCGTTTTTTTTAATCTTTCGCAGGTGTTTCTGTTACTGCGGATTTATTTTGTCTAACTTACGATGATCTTTATTGAACACGAGTGGAGAACCGAGAAAAAAAGACGAAGAAGCTGTTCAGAGAGTTGGCTGGTGTATGTAGTAGCATGAACAATGGTTTGTGATTGTGGAATTATCGATTTATCGAGTAGAGTTTGTGGTTGTGGGATTATCGATTTGTTTTGTACTATGTTGTATTTTTAGGAATAGAATTTAAGGAAGTTGTCTGATGTGTTGTCACTTGTTTTTATGCAATGTTAGAACTAGTGTTAGGATGCACCTTCTGTATTGCTCTGGTTTATGATCTTACCATGGGATAATTACACTTTTGGTCCCCCAAGTTTGCCCGTTTTTCCGTTTTGGTCCCCCATTTACCGCAGTCAACAAAATATACTCTCGTTTTATCAAAATTTAACACATTTGGTCCTGCCGTTTGGTTGACCGTCTGACTTAACAGTCAACCGTCATGTGCCACGCACGTGACTTCAAATTAGGGCTTAATTTGCGTTTTTTCCCCAAAATCACCATTTCTCTCTCTCTCTCCACGCTCTCTCTCTCAATCTCAAATTCCCCAATTTTTCCAAGAACCCTAATTTTTGGAAGAAATTCCAATTTCAACAATCCAAACACCAAATCACGAAATTGTCTCTCCCCCTCTTGAAAATATGAGTAGTCGATCGACCACATCAAATCGAAAACAACAAACTGGCAGTGATTCTGGGGATTGGAGTGCAAGACCATTTCCAATCGAAGCTCATACATGTAAATGTGGAATTGAGCTTCCAATAAACACTTCGTGGACTGATAAAAACCCTGGGCGGCGATTTCTTGCATGTGCGAATTACATGGTGAGTAAATTTCTGAAATTAAGGGGTGCCATTTGTTCCAGTTATGAATTTCAATTCAAGTCTTTTTTTTTTTTGGTCACAGAAAGTATCACATTGCAATTATTTTGAGTGGGTCGATCCAGAAATGTGTGGAAGGTCAAAACAAATTATTCCCGGACTGTTGAAGAAATTGAACAAATTGGAAGATGACATGAAAGAAGAGAAGGAAAACCAAGGGAAGATGTTGATTCAACTTGAATTATACAAGAAGAAAGTAATGAAGTTGATGGTTGTGATTCTTGCTTTGCTTTTGTTTATAGCAATGCATGTGATTTTGAAGCTCTAATGATGTAATGTTGTCTGATGTTGAAGCTCAATTGATGTAATGTTCTCCTGATATAGACTTTTGTAATGCATATTTTGGCATATTTTGAATGTAATGAATGGTTTAGACTATTGATGTTTTGAATGCAAATGTGTGATGGTAATGAATGGTTTAGACTATTGATGTTTTGAATGCAAAGGTGTGATAAAGTGTGCTACTGTGTGATGGTGACCAACAAATGAGCTCAATATATATAACAACTAAAATAACAATTGAAAAACATTTCAAATGAACAAACATTTCAACTGAAGGATTTCAAATCCCAGAAAAATTCCAATTGAAAAACATTTCAACTGAACAAATTCAGAATTCCAAATAACAACATTCCAAATGAACAACATTCCAAATGAACAATAAACAACATTCTAAATGAACATAACAACAGCAAACAAACAAAACAAACCAAAGTAAAGTAACATCATTCCAATGGATGACAAAACAAACAAAATAAAGTACATGTCCATAAAATAATCCAAAAGTCATTGCACCAACAATTGAAACATAGGAAAAACATCAAGTTATGTGGTCTTCTTTGATCCATTCTTTGACTGTGTTGGCTTTTTGGCTGGCCTTGGTGCAGTGAATGGATTTGCAGAACTTGTAGAGCCTTGGATACCAAAAGCAGATCTGAGGTTGGACATTGTGATGAAATTAACTCCTCCCTTGACAATGACAGGAGTACTTACACTTGAACCTTCATTGATCTGCATCTACATCAACAAAAAGAAAAAGGTTCAGTAAACAAACCATTAAGTACATTAAACAATCAAAAGGTTCAGTAAACACTTACATTGATTGTAGAGGTAGTGTTTGAAGTTCCTGTCATATTCACTTGCCTTTTTGTTGGCCTTCTTACCTACAACAGTGATATAAACTAAAATAAGAATTAACATTGAAAAGAGGAAGAACATTGAATAAAAAATAAATAAAGTTACCTGCATCTTCCTCTGTGGAACTTGTGTTTCTCCTCTTTGAGAAACATTCATTGCAGCAGTGCTTTGTTGTGTAACAGGTTCTTGGCTAGATTCTTGCCCACCTTGATCAGGTTATTCCCTAGATTCTTGCACACCTTGATCAACTTCATTTGTTTCTTCCACAGTCTTTCTTTTTCCTCCACATTTCCTAGCATTATGCCCTGCTTGCCCACACTTTCTGCACTTATTAATTCTTGGAACCCCCTTTAACTTTGTTCCCCCAACAGAAGGTGGCTCATCTGGCTCTCTTCTTCTCAGTTTTTGAGGTCTACCAGCTTTTTCTTTATACATTGGTGGTAATGGAGGCTGCAAAGTGCATTGAGGCCAAAATTCTGGTCCATTTATTGGTGAAATGGAGTTTTCATATGCTCTTTTATATGAGTCAACACTGTAACAGTGATGAACATATTGCTCAGGGTCTTCATGCCTACACCAAATGGCAGAAATGGCATGTTTGCAAGGGATACCTGTCAAATCCCATCTTCTGCAGCTGCAACTCTTTGCTCTTATGTCAACAGTATGCTGATCATACATCCCCACTATCTGAAAATTCCACTCATCTGATTTCATTGGGATGCACTCACCAGCATCTTTCATATTCTTTATCAAGACAGTTCTGATCTTGGGACAAATGTTTGTATCCCATTTTAGAGCTTTTTCCCTATTCAACACCATTCTGGCCATCAACAGATTTCTTATACACTCAAGCATTGGTATTATTGGTTTCTCTCTTGCATCAAGGATGAAATAATTAAAGCACTCACACATATTGTTCAACAAGATATCACATTTAGGAAATGGATTGAAATGAGACCTGGTCCAATTCTGAGGAGGCTTCTTCACTAACCAATTGTATGCAGCTTCATCTATAGCCCTCAGCTCTTCCATTCTCCTCTTGAACTCTTCAATTCTAGTGGCTTTTGCAGCTGCCCACAGTGCACTCTTAATTGCCATACCCCCAAAGCCATCCTTCTTCATATTACTGTGTAAGTGCCTTACACAGAATCTGTTTTCTGCACCTGGAAATAGAGTTTCAAAAGCAGGGATAAGTCCCTTTTGTTTGTCAGACATAAATGTCCACTTGTGTTGTTCCTCAAAGCCAATGTCTTCATCTAACAACTGAAGGAACCACATCCAGGTTTCCTTAGTTTCACCCTCAACAATAGCATAACAAATTGGGTATATGTTATTGTTTGGATCCAACCCAACTGCAGCCAATAATTGCCCACCCCTCTGCCCTTTCAAAAAACACCCATCCACTCCTATGACAGGTCTACAAGCATTCTTGAACCCTTCTTTGCAAGCTGAAAAGCAAATGTACAATCTTTGAAACCTCAAACCTTCTGTGTCCTCTGTCAATTTTAAAACAACAGTGGCATTTGTGTCTGTTCTTTTGAGTTCTTCACAGTAAGATCTTATTTTTTGAAACTGTTCTTCTTCTGAACCTTGAATAGCCTTTAGTGCCTTTTGCTTTGCCCTATAGGCTTGAGATTTGGAGACACTTGCTTTCAAAGTTGTGCAGACTTCATTTCTGAACTCAGTTGTGCCTAACTTAGGATTTTCTTTGAATTTTTTCATGAAAGTTTTACCAATCCAGCTGGACTTGAGGCTGCTGTTGTTGTAGTTCCAATAACAGTTGTTATGGTCAGACACATAAGTTTTGATTTGCCAAGTCTTGTCATTTTGCATTGGAGAAACATGTATTGACCATTTGCAACCATCATTCTTACAGCAGGCCCTCAGTCTTCTACTGTCATTCTTGTAAAACTTGATCATCATCCCCCTCCTAAGGCAGTGGCTCTCTATAGCAAATTTTGCTTCTTTTTTTGAAGAAAAAACCAACCCAAGCTTTAACTCAGGGTTTTTATTGTCAGTTTTAGGATTAAACTTGGGGAATTTAACCCTATGTTCATCATCAGAGCCACAGTCACTGCCCATTGAGTCACTGTTAACACAGTCATCATCACCTTCTTCATTAAGCATCCTAGTATACATATCATCTGAGACAAATTCAGAGACCTTATCTTTACCCTTTGATTTAACCCCACCAAACTCAGCATCTGGATCTACATAGGCTTCAAACAACTTGTCATCTTCTTCAAAGTCATAATCACTATCATAAAACTCATCACCATCTTCCTCACTGTCACTCTCATTGCTTAACTCAGGTTCAACATTGGGTAATTCAGGTAAAACAGTGTCAGTTTGCTCATCAGTAATGACTGATGATGCAACTTGACTTTGCAAGGTAGGTACCACATTCACAGTTTCTTCTAACCCCAACTGTTCTAAGTATATTTCAACTTCATAGTTAATAGGTTTCATAGAAGCTACATCGGTATCAGTTTCCAAGTACCTACCCATATTCAGATTTGCCCCAAATTTGTACCAAAATTTAATTTTTTTCCTATCAGAATACCCCAACTCCCGTGACATTATCCACATATCAAGCATCCTCATCTCAGCAGGTTTTGAAAAATCAAAAAACTCCTCACTCCCACCTATGTACCTCGTTTCTGGACCATGTTTCAGTACCCCCCCATAATACATTTTAACAGTACACCAAGTACTTATCCCAATTCTTTCTGAAAATGATTTTTTGCCACAAGAAAGGAAAAAAAAAATATATATCAGCAACATTGTAAATGGCAAGAACAGTACATTAGGGTTCAAGTTGAGTTCTGCTTACCGTAATTTGGGGCAAATCCACCAGAGAATTTGCTTCTTCGCGACATGGCCTTCGAAAAATTCCTCTTTTCTTGTTGATTCTTCTTCGACCCAGAAATTAATCGGCAGAGAGAGAGAGAAATGTTAATGTTGATTTTGGGGAATTTGAGATTGAGAGAGAGAGCGTGGAGAGAGAGAGAGAGAGAGAAATGGTGATTTTGGGGGAAAAAAACGATGGCAAATGATTTTGGGGGAAAAAACGATGGCAAATTAAGCCCTAATTTGAAGTCACGTGCGTGGCACATGACGGTTGACTGTTAAGTCAGACGGTCAACCAAACGGCAGGACCAAATGTGTTAAATTTTGATAAAACGAGAGTGTATTTTGTTGACTGCGGTAAATGGGGGACCAAAACGGAAAAGCGGGCAAACATAGGGGACCAAAAATGTAATTATCCCTCTTACCATATTTCTTGATCTGATGGTTTTCAGCAATTTCATTTATTTTAGCATATTGTAGATGTATTTTATAATTATACAAACTAAGAAATACGATAAAATGAAGATCGGACTCAATCTTCTGCGGTACAAAGGGACACTCGACCTCTATATGTTTTGTTCGTTCATGGAAGACTCGATTTGAAGCAATGTGAAGTGCTGCCCCGATTGTCACTTATCAACTTCATTGGGCTGGTAATATCGAGCCTTAGTACACTTGTTTTTAGGGTTTTGTTTACTCGAAGCACTTTCATTCATAGACCTACCCGAATTCAACCCGTTTTTATCTGTAATTTCTTCATTTTTATTAATGCAAAATGAGTTCCTTCCACTCACGAACTCCGCCCCCTTTTCTGTGTTCTTCCTTGGTTCCGGGACTCGGTAAATGGCATAATTATTCGACAGAAAATTAATTCAATCCCATCTAATCTAATAACTATATGTGATTTGGTTTTGCATTTCATTTATTTATTTATTTAAGGGCAAATTACGACCATCGGCCCTGAGTTATGGTCAAATTACAAAGAAACCCCTTATGTTTGGGTAATTACATCCACCCACTCAACTATGTATTATCTTACGAAAAAAATCCCTCCAGAAGTAAATTTAGGGATGTGAAATCGGTAAAACCGAACCGAAATTTTGGTAAGCCAACATTTCATACCGTTTACCGAATTGAATATACGATGTGGTTCGGTAAAAAATCGGATTACATAAATTTTTATGTAAAAATATTTAAAAGGAGGGGCTGGCCGTAATTTGCCATTTATTTAATTTTAGGGAAATTAGTTATTAGTAGATCTCTAAATGGGCCTATATATATATATATATATATGTATGCTGTATGCATAACAAGCTACTTGATAAAGGTAAAAAATATTATAAGCCCAGCCCAAAAAAGAAAAAAGAAAATAAAAAATAATAATTTATTATAAAATGAAAAAAATAGTAAAAAATAATTATTTATTTATTTATTTATTACAGCCACAGAGGTAGTAATAAACAAGTCTCTCCTTCCTCATCTCTCCGTCGTCCGATCTCCCCTTTCTCTCCCTTCAGATTTCTCCAAATTCATCAGCCAATCTTCTCTCTTTTTTCTCTCCCTTCCTCTGCGCGCCAAATACAAATCCACCCCCCATCCCCCGAGGTATATACCACCCCCCCACACTTTCTCTCTCACACACACTCACTGTGTGTGTTCTTGGTTACATATTTCTGATCGTCTGATTTTTTGTTTGTTACATGAATTATGAAACACACCTTTGTTTCCAAGATTGAATTTTTTTTCAGTGGGTTTTTTTTTTTAATTTCTTAATTTATTTTAGCGGCCGATTTCATTTATGACGAAGAAGGGTTTCATTTTCTTTTTTTGTTTTTTTGTGTGTATGGGGTTAGGGTTTTGTTTTTTACTTCCTGTGAGGAAGAAACGATGGCGGACAGTCCTGGCGGCTACGGAGCAGGCGGCGGCAGCGGCAGCCACGACAACGGCGGCGACGGCGGCGGCGGGGATCAGAGCCCGAGGTCCGGCGTCCGCGAGCAAGATCGGTTCCTCCCGATTGCAAACATCGGCCGCATAATGAAGAAGGCCTTACCTGCCAACGGTAAAATTGCTAAAGATGCCAAGGACACCGTTCAGGAATGCGTGTCCGAATTTATCAGCTTCGTCACCAGCGAGTACTCTCTTACATCACCTCTTTCATTTTTTCTTACATCACTGTTTTTTTTTTTTTTTTTTTTTTTTCTGGGTGGTCTGATTTTTCTTAAACCAGTTGTGATTGTGAACTTCAGTAGTAAATTGGGCCTTTTCTAATTTTCTATGTGATTTAGTGAGCTTCTAGTTTATGATTTCAATTTATAAAAACTCGGTTTTTTCCGAACTTGTTCTTGCCTTTAGTTGATAGTTTTGGTTCTTGGAAAGCAAACCCATTTGTGTGTTTAAACTTTACATGTTTTACGTGCGTCGTTGCTTGCTCGTAATCGAAAATAACTGCAGAATGAGTTAGTGGGTGATTGTGTCGTTGATTTGAGTGCTCGATTGGTAACTTTTGCTGTATAATTAGCGAAACTTTTCATTTTCGAAGCTAAAATTCATGTGGATGTTTGTTTTCATGGTGTTATCATTTGTCGTCACATGAATTTAGTAATTATCAGATGATACGACGAATGTGAAGATCGTGGGTGAAGCTGTGTGTGTGTGTGTGTGTGTGTGTTTCTTGTTTGTATAATACTTGAGATATAAGTGCTTTATTCGGGTATTTATGTGGTTCGTGGTGTAGTAGTTAGAATACGTACATCCTTTATTATGTGAAATAACTAAATCTATGTGTTGATATTGTATGTTTCTCGTGTTTATGCCGTACTTAAGTAATTTCTTTACTTGTTCGAGCGTGGATATATTTGCCCTAGCATTACTCACCTTGAAATGTATGTGAACAGAAATTTTGATTTCTTTACATATAAAAGACGATATACCCTGACTGGAAATAAGTACGTAATGCACATGCTAATTATCGAAAACTTCAAGATTCTAATATACCCACAGCGGAGGTTTTTTCGGTGTTTATGTTGACTAGCCGAAAAGTGGTGGAAAATGCCATTTACGAGATTGTTGCCTTTCGTGTGTCGTTTTTTGTACTTATGTTCATAAATACTTTTTTTTTTCCGCGTCTTTTAGGTTGTGGGAAAATGTCGTAGAGTATAGTCATACGTAAGAATCGCCTTATCGTAGGGGTTTAAATTGGAAAATCCTATGATTATGACGTAATTGGCAGATTCCTACGAATTTCATTGGCTCCCACTCTTTCAACAGATTCTTGTCGGTTTCTTTCATTAAGACATCAACAAGTTAGCTTCTTTTTTTTTAGTTTAAAATAGTCTAACAATCATGTTGCTGAATTATTAAGTTTCTTAAGCTCGAAATTATTCTGGCTCTAATACACATGTATCCTAGAATCAGACAAAGGTTACTGTTTTCATTACGTGTCTCCATGCACGGTGTGGAAAAAGTTTCTGTATTTGTGTAACGTGTTTATATGTATAATAATAAGATACACGTGGCTCATAAACTTTTGTTTTTTTAGTTTTAGGAACGACGTTTTGACTTTATTTTTGTTATTGTCGAACTAGGGCAAGTGATAAGTGCCAGAAAGAGAAACGGAAGACGATCAACGGGGATGATTTGCTGTGGGCAATGGCTACCTTAGGGTTTGAGGAGTATATTGCCCCGTTGAAAGCCTATTTGGCTAGGTACAGAGAGGTATGCCAAATTCTCTCTCTCTCTCTCTCTCTCTCTCTCTAGAATCTTGTAAATCTCTCAACATATATTTAACATCTCCTAACATGAATAAAGCATGTCACAACATAAATAAAACACGTTTTTTTTTTTTGGTGGTTGTTGATTATTGGATTAGTTCTTGGTCGTTGTTGTTCATTGTTTGTGCTCTACTGGAACTTTGGCTTGTTTTGAAGCAACGCAAATGAGTTTGACCCGACAAATTGACTTATAGTCCATCTGTCATCCTAATGTAAAATCGATTAAATCGTAAATTTTAGGATGCGTTTGGATGAGAGGATTTGATGGAGAGATTTGAAATCCATAGAGACTGTTTGGATCGAGTTATTTGAAAAAGAATTTCAAATCCATAGCTCTCGTTTATTGTTGTTTTTTGGAGCAAGTTGTGGTGGATTTCAAATCCCTTCTCATTTGGAGTTATTTCAAATCCTCCCCCATTTAAACTTATTTCAAATCCTTCAATCCAAACGCAACCTTAAGGATTTTGCTTGGACTAAAATGCCACTATGATTTAACAAGGTAGAGGGTAGTAAAATCGTAAAATCATCGGATTTTAGGATTTTAATCGGGATTTGAACCACCTTGTTTCTTAACAAACGAGTGGATAACAAATATCCTCCATTTCTACACTCTAAGCTGATTTTCACTTTTCTCTCTTCGTTTTTTTTTCGGACTATATGAAATTAATATTGAAATTACAATCTAACCCCTCAATTTTTTTTCCCTATGGCTTGGACAATTTTCCGGAACAACTTCGATACTGCAGTTAGAGGTAAGCAGATAATAATTTTCTATGTATTTTTTTTTTCCTTCTCGATTTTTTTTTTTCCTCACAAAATCAATAATAACGAAATGTGATATATCATCAGGGTGACACCAAAGGATCTGTTCGGGGTGCAGAAGGTTCCGGTAAGAAAGAGACAGCTGGAACTCAACTGCATTCTGATCCACAGGTAACTGCCGACTTCTTTTTATTTTATTTTATTTTAATTTATTTAACGTCCGGACGACTTTTGCAGTTTGCACATCAGGGCTCTTTCTCACAAGGCTTCAGCTACTCGAACTCCCAAATCGAGTATTGAGTGAGTTCACTTTACCGATTTAATTACGAGGCTTATTAACAACAATTCCAATGCACTATTATTATTTATAATTAACAAAAAAAATAAAAAATAAAAAAAATTAGACATTCAAATCGCTTATCTAAGATGCCGTTTATTTGGAATCTTGCAGTGAAGGAAAAGGGATGTGGTTTGCCTTAGTGCAAAAGACGAAGCTCGTCTCTCTGCTGAGTTCGTTAGTCGATATTGTGTGATTTTGTACCTTTTAATATTTTATACACTTTATATATCGAATAAGTATAGTGATGTGTTATTTTGTTGTTGCTGCTGTTGTTGTTGTCAGTCGTCGTTTGTAATAGTATGTAAATCGTAAAAATACCGATACCATCTGTTGTACATTTTGCTTGTTAGTTTGCGTTTGGGTATCCAATATTTATTATGGGTGTGATTTCGAAAAAAAAAACGAAGCAATTGTTGCGTGTATATATATGCGTAGGTTGGGTTTGGTAAAGCAACCGTACCAAATCTATTGAATTACTACCATCCGAAGTTTCGGGTATAGCAAAATTCATAACTATTATTCTATCTGAATTTGGAAGGGTAATAGTTATTGCAAATTTTAATATTAATGAGAGTTTGTTTTTAATATTTTTTGGCACCTTTACTGTAAAATTTTCGGTAGGAATAATGTTTGGTCTGATTTCACTTTTCGGGGAAGCCCTCGTTGTTTTAAGGTGAACAAAATAAAATATTAAATATAGCAAATTTTGACCATACACAAGGGTGTGAGTGCAAAAAACCAGTGTATTTTTGTCCATCTTGGAATAACATGGACTAAAAGTGAAATCGTGCGAAACATTATGTACCAAAAGTGCAATTCTCCATCGTTTTGCCCTAATTTGGACATATTGGGGGTCACGTGCGCTGCACGTGGCATTTTCAAGTTAGATGCTAACGGACGCGGGACAAAGTTGCTATTTTAGATGTGAATTTTGCCCACCTTGGAACAACAGGGCTGAAAAGTTGAATCGGACCAAACATTACGGACGAAAAGTGCAATTCTCCATAAAAAAATTTACAATCGAGTTTGATGAAAGGTTGGATATTCAAATCTTTTTGAATGCGTGTATTGGAAAGGGCTTCCCCAATAACATATTTTGCACCTTCTAATAAATAAATAACAATCTATATAATTTAAAATTTATATATATTTTGCACCTTCTAATAAATAAATAACAATCTAAATATATATGAGTGAAAAAAATGATTTTTGAGGGGGTAAATTGCTACCCTAGATAGAGTTGAGGGACCAAGATAAAAATAAAAGTATCCCGAAAAGGAAGAAAGGGTAAAAATAATAATTGTTACAGCTCAATACTATCTGGTGTTGCAGCGAACGGTTGTATATTACCCTGAAACGGCGCCGTTTTACAAATTCTCATCACAAAACGATGACGGCATTCTAGGGTTTAACCTATTTCGGAACTCTGCTTCCAAGGGCAAAGAGGACTCTTCATTTCTTTCGGCTCCGTTTTACGTTTTCTTCTCCCCACTATATTTTCGCCGTCTGATTTTCTCTCTCTAAAAACCCTCTAAAACCCCAGTTTCCGGTTTTTCCGACGATCACTGCAGTTGAGGTACCATTTTTCTTTGTTTTGTTTTAATTGATTTTTTGTAACTTCTAATTTCTTTTCGAACGTGGGTTTTTGAATATTATTCGGTATATATGCGCTTCTTGCAATTTTTTTTTTGAATTTAAATGTGTGAAATTCTCTCTGTTAGGGTTTATGGTTTTTGGTTTTGGGGTACTTTTTTTGTCTTGGTGAAGCCTTTTTTCTTAAATAAATTTATTATCTCGGCCCAGAAATTTTTGGTTATGAAGGACGAGCAAGGTGATGTGGGTCCGGCCGGCGGCGGCGGCGGCGGCGCCGCCGTCGTTTCACTGTCACCCTTGAGTGGGAAATTGGTTGGTGAACCTCTTGTTGAAAGTATGGGAGGGGAAAATCTGGTTGAGGAGTCTTATGAAGAGGGTTATGGAGGGGAAATAATGGTGGAAATTGTGGGGTCCGACGTGTTTGTTGGTGGGGTCCGCGGCCACAAAGAGGGGTATTTAGGGTCCGAAGAAGTTGGTAATTTCAAGGACCATGCATGGCAGAACGGAGAAGAAAATCCCTTTTCGGATGGTATGGATGTGTGGGACGAAGAAATCGATGTCTGTTTTAATGAATCTGTTGATCTACAAAATGGTGGTGAAGTTATGGATGCGCGATCGAGTAAAGAAGTTGTGGAAGGAAAAGTTTGTTTTTCGGAGACGGAAATCGTCCAAACAGATTCTGTCATGTTCGATGATCCTGCTGTCAAGACGGAAGCTAGGCTCGACATTGTTGTTGAAGATTACGAATTCCCTCAAAGTAAAGAACAAGTGTTTGAAGTTCAGATAACCGAATCAGAGTTCGGTACCGAAGAACACAAACCTGAGTTTCCTGATGAAGAATACGAGGGTATTTTCGCCATTTCAGATATGGTGTGGGGGAAAATACGGAACCATCCATGGTGGCCCGGACAAGTATTCGATCCAGAACATGCTTCAGACAAGGCTGTCCAATATTACAAGAAAGATTCTTATTTGGTTGCATATTTTGGCGATGGAACTTTTTCTTGGAGCAATTCGTCTGTGTTGAGGCCGTTTAGGTCATATTTCACACAAATAGAGAAGCAGAGCAATTCCGAAGCGTTTCAGAATGCTGTCGACTCTGCCTTGGAGGAAGTTTCTAGAAGGGTGGAGCTAGGTTTGGCGTGCTCGTGTATTCCGGAAGACGCGTACCGTAGGATCGAAGCTCAAGTTGTGGAGAACACTGGTATACGCGAGGAGTCGTGCCGTAGATACGGTGTGGATCACTCTAGCCGAGCCAGTTTTTTCGAGCCCGATAAACTTCTCGATTATGTTAGAAACTTGGCAACTCATGCATCATCATCTTGTGGGGCTGATCGAGTGGATCTCGTTATTCTTAGAGGACAGCTGTCTGCTTTTTCTCGATTTAAAGGATATCGTTTGCCGACCGAATTTCTGGAAAGTGACGAAAACATTAGCGACGAAGTTGTTGGGCCCCACAGAGACAAACACACTCCAGAAGACGATTCTTGCTATAGGAAGGAGAGAAGCTTGATGGAGCTAATGGACGATGATGTGTCTTCTGGGAGAAAACAGAGATCCAACGACCCGTTAACCAACGGGTCGGGTAAATGGGTAAACGGCCAAACTCACAAGCCTTCCTTTCGAATTGGAGACTGCGTCAGCAGAGTAGCCAGCCAATTAACGCAGTCCACTTCGTCGGTGAAGGGCAATAGTGTCGAAACGATAACTGATGAAAACCGTGGTCCGCTTAGTTCAACTGAATCTTTTTCGGTGAACAAGATAGTATCTCAACTTCATTCGGTGGCACAAAAACCCGAGAAAGAAAACGGGTTCGAAAATAGTACCCGGACTTTCTTCTCGGGTTTCAGAAATTCTGTTGTTTTAAATCAACGAGGTAGAAAGAGAAAAGCTGAGTCAGCAATAGGTGAAGAATTTGATTTCGGTGATGCGACGAATGATTCTTATTGGACGGACAGGATTGTCCACACCAAGGAAGAGCAAACACTGCCTTATATCGAAAACCCCGTAAAACAATCGGGTATTAAATCACATTCTAGGAAGAGGTTTTCAGGTGGGGCCCACTCAGGAGCAGCCATGGAATTAGACGACAGTCTTCGAAGGAGAAAGCAAGAATCTTCGCCCGCTGAGCTGATACTGAACTTTGCTGACAAGAAATGCGTTCCTTCGGAAATAAATTTGAATAAAATATTTAGGCGGTTTGGGACTTTGATGGAATCTGAGACGGAAGTTGATCGTGATTTAGGTCGGGCGAAAGTGATATTTAAACGGGGCGCTGATGCTGTAATTGCTCATGATAGTTCTGAAAAGTTCAATATATTTGGACCGGTTATTGTTACTTACGAGATTGGTTACTCGCCGTTGATCTCGGTCAAGGTTCTGCCCCTTGAGATACCTCAGTTTCCGGAAGACGAGATTTTGATGCTATAGCTTTGGATTTTACGGTAATTATCTGCTCGTTACTGAATTTATCTTCTCGTTATATAGTTAATTGAGATAATTAACGAGCATTTGTTATGAGATTCTTCTTTTTTTCGTTTATTTGTTCATTATTATCTTGGCTTGCTTCTATATACAATTGAAAATTCTCTCGTTTTCTCCGCAGGGTGAAATTTATCCGTCGTGGGGACTGTCTAACATCGAATCAACATTTAGTCGAGAATTAATTACGTAGTCCGTTTTCTGAAGGAGGGATAGAAGCTGCGAAAGTAGTTCTCATTCTAGTTATCAACTATTAGTGCACAAAGAGATGTATTCAACCAAACCCTATTTTGCATAACATTCAATCTTTTGTAGGAGAGATTAATTAACTACATCTGCTTTATTTTCTTTCGATTATAAATTTTTTTTAGTAATATTTTAATATCGAGCATAAACTCGGTATGTTGACTGCTTGACTTGTTGACTTTCGATCCGTCGTCACCAACCGTTGATATGGCCCTTACCCTCTCGAGTTGTGACCCGGTGGGTCGGCCTGGTAACTCTTCTATATAGCGATCTAGTTTATTCGATGCCACACGACACGGAATTAAAATTTAATATACACGCGTACTGATAACTATTCACTTAATTGATACACATGACACATCCATGTATATATATGTGTAGATCAATGGTACAAAATCATTCGGTGCATTTCAATGTGTAACATTGACGAAATCGGGATTCTAAATGTAGAGTTCCGTTTCTCGTTTATTAAGTCATACTTGATAAAGCGAAAAGTTATTCGATCGATCCTTGAATAAACTCCAATTCGCGAATATAGCTCAAGCGCGACGAGCTTTATTTATTCATTTTTTGTAGTACTCGGACTAGAATGAATTGATTCCGATTCCTTGATGTGGCAAAGGCCTTCGAAGAGTAGGAACCACACAAAGATCGAACTTCCTTCTCGCTGAAGCTCCAGCCAACTCAGTCATATCCAAATCTTCGGGTTTCATTCCGTCGGGCAGCATCCAATCGAAATGGTACAAAAACATAGCCAACGGGAGCTCGACATTTGCCAGACCTATCATCATTCCGGGGCAAGCTCTTCTTCCGGAGCCAAAAGGTATATACTCAAAGTTATTCCCCGTGAACTCAATCGGTGTTTCGATAAACCTCTCCGGTTTGAAGCTCTCGGGCTCCTCCCAGTACTCCGGGTCTCTCCCTATGGCCCACGCGTTGACCACAACCCGTGTTTTAACGGGTATTTCGTACCCGTTGATAAGGCACGGCTCTCTGCTTTCACGTGGAAGCAGTAGTGGGACCACTGGGTGGGCCCGGAGTGTCTCTTTGATGACTAGTTTGAAGTATTTGAGCTCGTCGAAGTAACGCTCGTCTACGATGCCTCCTTTGGAGTCGAAAACACGTCTCACCTCTTCTTGGGCCTTTTTTAGGACTCTAGGGTTTCTGAGCATTTCCGACATTGCCCAATCGATAACCGTTGGTGATGTGTCCACTCCGGCACCGAACATATCCTGTTTTTTTAATAAAAAAATTCTCAGAAAAATGATGATCATAATTTTAAGGGTAAATTACAACCACATCTGAGGTGTGATCAAATGATGATCATAATTTTAAGGGTTCTATTGTATATAAATTACCTGTAGAACGGCTTTAATGTTGTCATCGGTCAACGGAATGTCAAGCGAACCGGAGCTCTGGAATTTCAAAAGTACGTCGAGCAAATCTTCACGTTTTTCTCCGTCACCGTCACCATCACCGACAGTCGCTACTCTAGCATTCTCTCTCTTCCGTTCGTCGATAACATTACCAATTATCCTATCCAGCTGGCGGTGGTGGTTCTCAATCTTCGTCCTCAGCCCTCCGATCATCTGCATGATTTTGATCGACGGATACAAATCCGCAATGTGGAACACGTTGACCAGCCTTATACCTTCCTTCACCACCCTAGTGAACGCCGACGCCTCGTCGCTCTTCTTCCCGATCGCCGCCCTCACCATGACGTCGTAGTTCGACATGCTGACACGTTCCGAGAGGTTGACCGTCGACCCTTCGTCCTGACTGGCGGCTATCCATTTGCATAGTTTCGAACTCACCTCCACTCGTATCGGCCGGAACGACTGCACGCGCTTGGCGCTTAGCAACTCGAGCGTGCAGATTTTCCGGAGCTGCCTCCAGTAGTCGCCGTACGGCGCGAATGCGATGTCGGTGTTGTTGTAGCAGCCGATCTCCGTCGAGAGGAGTGAGGGTCTCGAGGCGAAGGTGACGTCGTGCGTTTTCAAAAACGCTCTAGCGATCTCCGGCGACGAAACGACTATGTTGTCGATTTCGCCGAGGCGGAGGTACATCAACGGTCCGTATCGCTTGGATAGATCGGCTAGTTTGTAGTGCGGTGGGTCCGGACCGGTGAGGTGGTGTAAGTGGCCGATCAACGGTAACTTACGTGGGCCCGGGGGGAATTTAGGTTTAGGGTTTTTACGGGTTTTCGCGAGCTTTCGGATAGCGAAAATGGATGCTAGCAAAGAGAGGAGGAGGAGGAGAAAAGAGGATAACTCAAATTCCATTTGAGGGATTTATTTATTTATTACTTATTATTTATTATTTTTATTTTTAATGTTTGTGAATTTTTGGATGAGTTTGTATTGAATCCATTGAACTCAGCAGTATTTATACAATTTCTAAGGGCGTGTTAATTAATGCATGCAGACATGGTTCATAAACAATCTAGCTGTAGGCTTAATTCCAATTTGCACCCTTTAAATATATTCTTTTGGCATTTTGCACCCTTAAATTTTTTTTATAGCATTTGGCATCCTCGAAACGTACATAATAAATCATGCATAATGCATTCTCCAATGAATTTTTAAAGCTAATGAAGGTAATTTAATATTTTTAGTGGTATTTTTTAGGATGTCAAATGTCAAATTAATTTTTTTTATTCATCAATCATTTCTAATTTACAAAGTGCAAAATAAAAAAATACATTTAAGCAACATATTAATTTTTTTTTCACAAAGAAAAAAAAAAAAAGAACAAAATAATATCCTTCAGCTATTTATGTATCAAATTATTTGAAAATTATATTTTCTTTCAAATATTTCTACTAAATATTTTCACTAATTACAACATAAAAATCCACCAATCGAATAATTTAGTGAATTTTTTGATTTTTCAGCAAGAAAATATAGTATTTTTTCAGTAGCTTTTTGTCATTTTTGTTTTTTCGCATTCCGTACACTCGAAATTATGTTGGGGTGGAAGAAAATAATAATTTAATTTATTATTTGCATCCTGGAAATAAAAAAAATCAATAAAAAAATAAGTTACCCTCATTAAGTTTTACATATTAAACTCATGGTGCATTATGAATGATTTATTGTGTTTCGAGAGTGCAAAATGCTATTAATTTGTTTCAAGGGTACAAAGTACCAAAATGTCACATTTCAAGGGTGCAAAGTGAAATTAAGCCTATATATGTGAGTAAAAGAAGTAATAAGTAAACTGATTTCCAATCTATATCTATATATGTTGAAAATAAAAGAAAATATTAAGTCAACTGATTTTCTGTAAGTCGATTGGCGGAAATTAGATGCTACACTGGTTATTTACATTAAGTGGATTTGAAATATAGATCTACACATAATCACACAAACCCATGTGTACATAATCAGGTGTAGCATCTAATAATTCCCGTCGATTGGACTGATTTCACGCAACTGTCTCTCTCCGCCTTTCACTCTATCCTCCCCTCGAGTCAACTGATTTAGGTGTTCGACTAAAGTTATAATAACATGTTAAAAATAACTTATAAGATGTTTAAGAGTTTACAAAGAAATTGTTTTATATTTGTTTTTAGAAAAAGCTGCAGAAGAACTTTCATGATATATTTGTTTTTAAAAAATACCTCTACCCCACCCACCCCTAGACGGCCAACTACTAGCAATCACCGTAACCTACATCATATATAAATGTCCATTAATTTTTGTGTGAAGAATAAATCTGTGTTTGGCGGGGATTTTAGGTATGAGCATAATCTATCTAAATCGACCTAATTGAAGTAAGTTAAATATATAGTTCCTATGTGTAAGTTTGTATATATATTTCTAAGGTTAAGGAGTTTCAATAATGATATTACAGTCATATTATATTTTAATTAAAAAATTGTATTCGTCGTGATTTAGATATGATTCGATCTAATTGAGTATGTTTAAATTGTTCAGATCAATCCCCATTAGAAGAGTTGGTAACATAATTTGAATTTAAGAAAAAAATGTTTCGAAACAAATAATTTATATAGATTTTTACCAATCCTCGTTAGGATTATTTGTACCGAATAATAAAATATCCCATTTCTTCTAAAAAAAAAAAGAACGATTAATTTAAATTTTACTTAATTAGATCGATTCATACCTAAACCTCGCCTAATACATATTATTATCAATTGCAAATTCTCCATAACAATTAATGGACATTTATGCATGCTGTAGGTTCTGGCGATTGCTATATGAGTTAGGTCAATGATTTTAAGTTTATTATAGAGAAAATTAGATTTTATTTGAATGAATTACAATTTGTTGGAAACGTAGAAAGCATAAAATGAAATTTTATCTAAAAAATAAATGGCAAATTACTGTCATCCCGACTTATGGTTAAATTACGAAAACCCCCTCATGTTGGGTAATTACAGCCACCCCCTCAACTATGTATTATATATCTTACTAAAAGACCGCTGCAGATGTATATTTAGGGATGTTAATTCGGTAAAACTGAACCGAAATTTCGTTACGCCAACATTTCATACTGTTTACCGAATTGAATATACGAGTTGGTTTAGAAAAATAACCGAATTACATAAATTTTATGTAAAAATATTGAAAAGGAGGGGATGACGGTAATTACCCAAACAAGAGGGTTTTTTTTTTCTCCGTAATTTGACCATACCTTAGAAAGTGGCTGTAATTTGCCCAAAAAATAAATAGTATTAAGTTAAGTAGTTAATTACAACAATAATTTTGTTCAAAACTTTATTAGATTGCTATATTTTTAAAATCATCCAACAAAATTGCGATGAGATTAATAATTTAAAAAGTAATATTCTTTGTTATATAATAAATAAATTACAGTCGCCCCCTTAATAAATTACAGCCTCCCCTTGAGGTAAAGTCTATTTATAAAAGGGCAAATTACGGCCACCCCTAAGTTATGGTCAAGTTACGAAAACTCTCCTTATGTTTGGGTAATTACAATCACTTCCCTCAACTATATATTGTCTTACGAAAAAACCCATCCGGAGGTAAATTTAGGGATATTAAATCGGTAAAATCGAACCAAAATTTCGGTACACCGACATTTCGTACCGCTTACCGGACTGAATCTGAATTTGGTTCGGTAAATAACCGAATTATATAAAATTTATGTCAGAATATTTAAAATTAGGGGTGGCTGTAATTACCCAAACAAAATGGGTTTTTTTCGTGATTTGGTTATACCTCAAGAGGGTGTCCGTAATTTGCCCTTTATAAAAAAAGAAAAACTCCTCATATTTTCATAATTACATCCACCCTCCTTTAAAATTCTGAAATTAACACCATGGATGTAAAAAAGCTACAAACTTTAAGGGGCTTGATGTAATTTCTAAAAACAGAAGGGACTTTGTTGTAATTTACGTTATTCCAGATTGTATTTTGCGGTTCCTTCGATGCTGCACCCGGTGAAAAACACCGGGTGTAGCATCGAACAAATCGTATTTTGCAGTCAGAGAGTTGCCATCTGGCATTCCACGTGCTCCTATTTCCACTCTTGACCTCGTAACAAGGTGACACCTTTTTCTCCCATGCAATGCTTCATTATAATAATTATTATTATTTCATTTTTCTATATTAGAAGTGATCATCATTTTTCACCCTCTTCATATTTTTCACCCAAAATAATTAAATTAAATTAAATTAAATTAGATTAAATTTGTTGTGAGGTGAGGTGTTAAGAAGAAGAAGAAATAAAAAATGGGTTCAGAGACATTTCTTGAAGTGATCCTCGCAATTTTGCTTCCTCCAGTTGGTGTCTTCCTCAGATATGGCTGTGGAGTACTTACTTACTTTCTCTCTCTTCTTTCTCTCTCCTCTTTTTATTTATTTATTTATTTTAGTGTTAATAAATAATTGGTTTAATTAATTATTTGTTGGTTTGTGTATTGATTAATGGTATCAGGCGGAATTCTGGATTTGTTTGTTGCTCACAGTGTTGGGATACATACCTGGGATTATATACGCCATTTACGTGTTGGTCGTTTAGGGGGGCATATTCGTAATTTCACTTTCTTTCTTTCTTTTTCTTTTTCTTTTTTTTTTTTTTTTTTTGGTAGAAATTAATTGAACTTCTGTACTGTATGAGTTTTAACTATGTTGATCTTTCATGTCGGGTTTCTCTAAATCTCTTGAGATTATTGAGTTCTAGTTCATCTTACGGTTAAACCTCTGTAAATTTGTAAATTAATACAGTCCGGACCAGAAAAATTCTATTAATTTAGCGAATTATTAAATTATCGAGTTAATTTAATACGTTTCCACCAAGTTGGGATCGAGATAAACTATTATTTAATTGAGGTTATTAATTTGTGACATATTAATATAGATGAGGTTCTACTGTATGTTTTTTTTTGCAAATTTTTGGATTAAACTGGACGTAAATGTATGTGTAATGCCGTTTGTGTAGTGGATTCGATTAGTTAGTTAAATGGAAAATTACAGTTTTTACCCCTCAATTTTGCACTGATTGCACATTTGGTCTTCTATGTTTAAAAAAAAACACATTTGGTCCCTTATATTTTAACAATTTAACAGTTAAGGGAGTGATAGGAAAACGCTTGATTCCGTCATTGACGTAAATGGCTAAAATTGTTGGATTTTTGAAGTACAAGGGACCAAATATGTTTTTTTTAACACGGGAGCAAATATGAATTTGATCTAAACTTAAGGGATCGAATCTATAATATTCTTGTTAATTAAAATATTAAAGTGTATATTAAATGTAAAATTAATAAATCGATTATAAAAGAAATATAGTAGGTTCACTAATCGACAGTAGTCGATTACGTAAACTATTATTACATAACAATACTAAAATCGATGGAAGAAAAACTAGATTGTATCGGACGGATAAGAGAAGCTCCGCCACACAATGCATTGGTCGAGTTCCGTAGATCGAGGAGGAACTTGCCGGTTTACAAGAGGTGGGCGGGGCAGTTTCAACCGAGTTTCTCTCTCTTCATTTCCATCGGCAAAGCAAATGCACCAATCGAGTTGCGAGTATACATCTTCTCCGCGAGTGGAGTTCTCCGTGTGCTCGTAGGTGGCGGCGACAGCTGAAAGGGTTTCGATTTTAGAATGGCAGAATCGTAATTACCGATGTTTTGCACCCTCTTTTTTGCTTTTCGATTAATATCTTGGTTCAGATCGATCCCCTCGAGACATTTGCTAATCGAAGCAAGTTCGGAAAACGTAGTGTTGCCGTTAATGCTCTCTCTGCACCTTTTGCTCTTCAATGTATCCCTTCGTTTCTCTTCCTCTAGAGTGGAGTTGAGGCCGAGTTTGTTCCGAGGGCGTTTGCCGTGCAGTTCGCCAGCTGTCGCGACATGATTGGCCGTCGGACACTTGACGTTCTTGGCCGCGTCCGACTTCGGAGTTTTGATCACCTTCTTGCAAGATGAAGCGAATTTGTCGCTGATGCTGACGGAATATTCTTTTTGAGGAAATTTTCGACTCGTTGCTATTCCGTCGTGGTATCTCGTAGGCGTGTTCTGCTTTCCGAAAATGAAATCGAAAAACCCTTGTTACTAAATGCCGATTTCGATTTTTTTTATAACATTTTCCTTGATCCAAACGGACCCTAAGAAATATAAGAGATTAGCAAAATAATAGAACCAAACCTCGTCGAAGAATCTCATTTGAGGCGACGGTGGGCGAAGTTCAGATGGCTTTAGACTTTTCGTCGATCGAGATTCCGATGAATAATTGCCGGTCGAAACAACAGGCGACGCAATAAAAGGGTGATTATTCGAGAGAGAGAGTGAGCTAGTCGAAAGACTAACATTTCCCATTCTTTTATTATTACTACCCTTCTCGGCTGCATCTCTCTGAATCTTGGTCGAAAGTTTACTATTTCCAGGCTCCATTTTTCTATTCGGAAGGCTCGAATCTGCTACAAGAGTGTGCCGTTAGTGAAAATTTCGAAGGTGGCATTAATAAAACATGTCGTAACTATACGAAATTGTTCGTTTACCAGAACAAGTTGTAGTAGTAGTAGTTCCTGAGAAATCCCTATTGCTTAATCTCGTCGAAATGTACGTTGTTCGCCCTAACGCCTTTGGTGGCTTCGGTGACGATATCGTTCCTTTTCTCATTCTTGAAATCGACTATCCCAAAAAAAAAAAAAAGTAAAAAAGATTAAAATTATCAGAGTCATAAATTGTACATTATGTACGTAAAATTAATTAAAATTGTCGAACCTCGTTTTTTCGAACATCGATGCTTTTCCCGGTCGAAATTTGATTAGATTTCATCTAAAAATAAAAAAAAACAAATAAAATTTCGGTCTTAGTAAAACACCATATTTAAAGCCTGGAAATGTGCTAATTAAATCACTTTCGACGTACCTTGTTTGTAAGAGATTTTTCGACATTCTTGACAGCTGCAAAGTTAACAGTGAAAATTATCTAAAAAAAAAGGCGAATATATTTGTCTTAATTTCTCTAAATAATCGAGAAAACTAACCTCGAACATTTTGCAAGCCTTCTTGTTTTAATCTACTTCGGTTTTCCAAATTCAACGCTTTATGGGATTTCGCTTTGTAAATCGATGGCGCAATTTCAAACCACTCGACAGAATTGTCGTCAGCATTTGATTCCGTTTCAGATCTTCGTTTACGCACATCTTTAGTGAACCCCTTGTTTATGAAGGATAATTCATCATGATCTAAAACACCTATTATGATTAACAAATTGAAAAACTATCAATCATCTCAAGTTCTTATTATACAGTTAGTGTACAGTTAAAATAAAGGAAAATAATAACCGTACCGGGACTGTCGAAAAACGCACTATCCCATGCTAAACTTCTCCGAAGAAAACTCGGTCGAGTTGGATGCATAAAATCAGACGGCAATACATTATTTTTGTTCTGTCTGATTATTTCGATCTCCGAAGAATTATTTCCGAACCCTGATAGCCTGAATCCTATGTTGTCTCTTGCATTATCTGTTTTTTCAAGAAGTTTATACATTTTGAATACGAGCTAATAGCACAGACCTCCATGTATTGTTTCTAATTGTCGAAAAATCCCTTGTGTTCAAAAAAATTAGCAAGAAACCCCCTGTGTTGTGTTTCTTACACCGGTCCTTTTTCGAAATTTATTGTTGATTTATGTGAAATGACCAAATTACCCTTAAAAAAAAAGAAAAAAAAAGGAACCAAAGAGAATTTTAGAGGGTAATTTTGACTTTTCAAGTAAAAAAAAATACGCCTCTACTCTCACAATACGTGCGTGCATTACACTTGGCCGTGACGGAACAAGAATGCAATAATAAAAAAAAAAATCAAGAAATTGTATATTTATTCAAAGAACAATAAAAAAGAACCTGAAAAAGGGTTTTGATGAGAATGATCAAAGAAAGGTGACGGAACAAGAAAGTCGTCGTCGGCCTCCGACAAAATATCGATCAGCTTAATCTTGTCGTGTGCAGAACTGAAGCCGAAGCTGATCTTCGTTTTCTGGTGCTTCTGTTGTTCTTTAGCACCTTCCATTGCTTTTGAAATTATTACAGCCTTTTTTTCCAAATGATTATGAAAATATTTGAATTTGGAGAGAAATATATTAATGTGGGATTATTTGTCAATATTAAAGATGATAATAAATATTAGAATTAATTGTATGTTTGAAATTTCTTCATAATAATCAACACAAGCGTTATGGAAAGTAACTACAGCGAGGTACAATCATTTAAATTTTGTATACATATTTATAAATAATTTTAAAGTTATTTATCTTGTAAGAAATCTCTAAAAAGAAAATATTTATGATTAAATATCAACTTAAAGGTGGCTGAATTTTACTTTGCGCCATGGTGCTCCCTCGAAATATAACAAATCATTGACAATGTACCCTAAGTTGAATATTTAAAATTTAATGACGGTAAATTCATTTTTTTTATAGGTCTTTTATCTATAGGATGCAATATTACAAATTAAATTATTATTATTATCTTCTACCTCCAATATAATTTCTACTGTACAAAATAAGAAAAAAAAAGTTTCATAACAAATTACTAAAAAAACTATATTTTTCTGCTAAAAAAATATTTTTTTTTCTCACAAAATCATTCGATTGATGGATCTTTTATTCGTAATTAGTGAAAACCTTTGGAAAAAAAATACAATTTTCAAATAACTTGATAACAAAATAGCTGATTTTTCTTTTTTAATTTATTTTTTGTTTTATGTAAAATATTATTTTGTGGTTTCTTTTAAATATGTAGATGCAAATATTTTTAATTTTGATTTTATAGTTTCAAAATTATTGATGAATAAAAAAAATTGATTTGACATTCGACATTTAAAAAAAAAATACCTCTCAAAATATTACCCTTATATTACCCTAAATTATATTCATTAACTTAAAAAATTCATTCGAGATGCATTATATATAATATATTGTATTTATAGGGTGTAAAGTGCTATTAATTTTTTTTAAGGGTGCAAAGTGTCAAAAAACTATATTATATAGGGTAAATTACAAACACCCACCTGAGGTATGGTCAAATTACAAAAACACCCCTCTTGTTTGGATAATTACAACCACCCCCTCAACTCCTCAAATTTAGTGGAATCTTCGAGATTATATGGAATATTATGACTTTTGTACCCGTTTTATCCCATTCAAACTCTACATTATGAAGAAAGATGATCATAATATGTGATTTTTAACTTATATATATCAGTTTGTGGTGCATCGGAAACTGTATTTTTACACAAAACGAGTACAAACTAGAGCACATTTCACGGAATCTAGATGATTATGTTGAATTTGGCACCATAAGGGTGGATGTGTAAGAAAAAATCATAGTTGAGGGGTAGATGTAATTATCCAAACAAGAGGGGGGTTTTTGTAATTTGACCATACCTCAGGGGTGTTTGTAATTTACCCTATTATATATTAACGTTCATCTGGAGAAAAAGCTATATGCAAACAAAAATGGTTGAGAAAATTTCGGAGACAATTAAATATTCACCTGATTTCTTGTTTGGAGGAGGTAAGTTGGTGAAGATGGAGGTTGACAAGCTGACAAATTGGATTTATTTATTCATACCTCAGCACAAAGACTATACACCATTCATTTCTGTCGAGGAATCTGTATCTATATATCTCTTCTGGTTTTCTGATAAATTTTCCAGGCGGTTTTCTCTGCTGGTTTCTGTGGGCTTAGTGGTTTTGATTTTGCTTCTTATTTAAACGAATCATCACTGACTATTTTCTGAGTAGAACCAAGAAATGGAGCTTGTCATTTTCGCACTGTGCACCATCTGTTTGTTGTATTGCCTCAACCAGTTTTACAAGCTTTACCTTCAAAAGAGGGACCAAAGTTGCTACCTTGTCGATTACGAGTGCCACAAGCCTTCCGATGAAAGAAAAATCGACACCAAATTCTGCGGCAGCATCATAGCTCGAAACAAGAACCTCGGCCACGAGGACTACAAGTTCCTCCTCCGCATCATCGTGAATTCGGGAATCGGGGAGCAAACTTACGGCCCGAGAAACATCATCGAAAGACGCGAGAACTCCCCCACTCTCCAAGACGGGATTTTGGAGATGGAGGAGTTTTTCGTCGAAACTCTCGATCGCCTGTTCCGGAAAACGGGCGTTTCTCCTCAAGAAATCGATGTGCTTGTTGTGAATGTGTCGTTGCTCTCTTCGACTCCTTCCCTAACATCTGGAATCATCAATCGTTACAAGATGAGGGGAGATATCAAGTCCTTCAATCTCACGGGCATGGGCTGCAGCGCGAGCTTGATTTCGATAAATCTCGTGCAGAACATTTTCAAGTCGAAGAAGAATGCTTTTGCAGTTGTGGTGAGTTCCGAGTCCATTGCACCGAATTGGTACTCGGGAAATGACAAATCCATGATCCTAACGAATTGTTTATTTCGTTCGGGGGGTTGCTCGATTCTTCTCACGAACAATCCAGATTTCAAGAATCGGGCGAAAATGATGTTGAAATGCTTGGTTCGCACTCATTTGGGCTCGAGCGATGAAGCCCACAATTGCTGCATGCAAACGGAGGACAATCAAGGGAGGCTCGGTGTTTACCTCGGCAAAAATCTCCCCAAAACGGCCACACGGGCCTTCACCAAAAACGTAGCGGAAATAGCTACAAAATTTTTGCCATTTAAGGAACTCGTCCGATATATTGTGCTGAAATACGTTGGAAAAAAAGTGCCGATTCTTGATCTTAAGGCTGGTGTAGATCACTTCTGCTTGCACCCTGGTGGGACAGCTGTGATTGAAGAGGTGAGAAAGAATTTAGGGTTAGGCGAGTACGACGTGGAACCTTCTAGAATGACTCTGCATCGTTTCGGAAACACGTCATCGAGTAGTTTGTGGTACGTTTTGGGGTATATGGAGGCGAAAAAAAGGCTCAAGAAAGGCGATAAAGTTTGGATGATTACTTTCGGTTCGGGTTTTAAGTGTAATAGCTGTGTGTGGGAGGTTTTGAAGGATTTGGAAGATGGGAATGTTTGGGGTGACGATATCGACCGGTACCCTCCGAAAACGACTGCGAATCCGTATTTGGAGAAGTATGGTTGGATTAATCAAGACACACTGGAGGTACCTGAGGGCTTAGTGTTTGATTGATATGTATGAATTTCCAGAAGTTTCTGAATTTCACAAGTTTAATTGGTGAGGGTAAAGTTTGGATTATTAAAAATATCATATGGAATACAATCGTTGTTGAATTCTTGAACTAGCTTATTACCTTGGTGTGGGATTGTACTTGGTGT